ATTGTGTCAGCCACCATTGTGCAAGCTCTGCCCACCGATCAAGTCGGGGGCCTGGTCCTCGGTCGAGTCAGCGGACCAGCGCGACCAGCTCGACCCATGAGCACTGCAACACTGCAGCTGTGGGGCTCCCATTTTTTGTTTTTCATAGTGAAGTCAGAAGTTGATGAAGTTGGGTTCTTGTGGAATTGTTGTAGGAGCTATCCCCACATCATTCTTCTTATGGCTGAATGAAATACACTAGCTACAAGCATTTCTCTGATGTTTTGCTTGTAATTAGCTCGTAGATCGTTATCTGTTATCTCAACTTGTGATAAATGCTGATGCTTCAAGTTGCAAGCCCTGGATACCAAGCCTCACCCAACGCTTCCAATCTGACTGCCACGGATGTTACTGTAGCAGTGGGTGAACGGAAGATCAGCACGATCAACCATACAATATTAGGTAGAAATTGGATTACCAACCAACAATATATATTGGTTCGGGCACCTGCCTCTATAATTGCCCCTTTGTGTCGCGGCTGACGTGTACCGTTCTGGTTGACGTTGTCGGTGACGTTGTAAACCCCTTTTTTTTTTTCTTACGTAAATTTTGACGTTGTAAACGCCGATTTTTTTGTTCTTACGTAAATTTTGACGTTGTAAACGCCGATTTTTTTTCTCTTACGTAAATTTTGACGTTGTAAACGCCGTAAATTTTGACGTTGTAAACACCGATTTTTTTTGTCTTACGTAAATTTTGACGTTGTAAACCCCGATTTTTTTTGTCTTACGTAAATTTTGACGTTGTAAACGCCGATTTTTTTCTCTTACGTAAATTTTGACGTTGTAAACGCCGATTTTTTTGTCTTACGCAAATTTTGACGTTGTAAACGCATTTTTTCCTAACGTGCATTTTGACGCTGTATAAACGCCAAATTCTTTTTTCTTACATAAATTTGGATCTTGTAAACGCCACTTTTAGTCTTGTTCATGTCATGATTGATGTTATCAACCCCGAACTTTTCTTGCTTCAAGTCATGACTGACATTGTGAGTTGTATTTTTTTGTTTCCTGTGATTTATGTATGCGTCATGAGTCATGATTCATGATTTACTATGCGCGCCCATTTTTGTTCATGTCGTTATTGCAATGATGTTTTTGATGTTGAGATGGGTCAATTCTTTTTGTATTGTCACACTCCTGATTCCTGATTACAGTTTTTGGTTTTTGTTTGTTTCTTGAAATTCAGCTGGCATTGAAGCTGGTGGGTGTGTTTAACTTGTCTTTTTGTCCCTCCATTGGCCCTTCATTTGTTGGTTATGCCGTCGTCGTCGTCGTCGTCGTCGTCGTCGTCCTCGTCGTCGTCGTGGTTGTTGTTGTTGTTGTTGTTGTTGTTATTGTTGTTGTTGCTCTTCTTCTTTTTCTTCGCTTTCCTGTTCTTGTTCTCGTTGCTCCGTTCTTGGTGATAACCGTGCTTGTGGGTCACTGTCACACATTGCTACATGGTTGCGTTGTCACATCGTCACTTCCTGCTTGTAAGTGTTGCATAATGCATAATGCTGAATAAATGATGAACTAATTCGTTTCCTTAAACCTGGTAGATCCTGGTAGGCTGTGGCAAGTAAAACTGGTAGGTAACGGCAGGTAACAAGACAAGACTCACCTGCGAGAAAGGCAGGTCCGATCAGGATGCACGCACGCACGCACGTCCACGCACGCACGCACGTCCACGCACGCACGCACGCACGCAACGCGACTCTACGCGCCCCGAAACCAAGCAAAATTCGATCTCACTGAAGTACTGTGTGACTAGTGCTGTAAACTAATGGGCAAATGTGTGATGACACACGGGCAAATTATAGAGGCAAGAGCTTTATATAAACACAGTCCCGAACTATCCCGAACTATCCCGAACTATCCCGAACTATTCCGAACTATATGAAATGCATCCGAACGGTTCAGAACGGTTCAGGTGTCACACCGTTTTCCCCATCCTTGCCCCCAGGATGGATCTCAGAGGGCCACTGACCGCTCACGTGACAAGATTGCCTGCCTTAGACGGGTTTGGGTGTGACATATACTTGTCAGAAGATTGTGAAATTTAGCCTAAGTTTCTTCCAGCCCCGTTCTTTGGGAAAACATTCTGCCACGACTTGTGTCACAGCTTAAGTTGCTTTCAGACATGTTTTTCTTCACCGAAGTTTTACTTGAAGTACCTTGGCTTATGGCAATTTACAACTCACAACTCGCAACTGACATCACTTGTCTTACAACTTTTCTTCCTCTTATAATTTGTAACTAACTTAAAACCTCATAGCTTAAAACCTTTACTTGCTTACAAGTCATGCATCTTCAACTTGTTAACTTAAATGATAATATGTTGTAAAAATTGCCCACTTTTAAGCTTAGAATCTAAGGCAAAAACCTGATACGCTTGAACCGTTCTGAACCGTTCGGATGTATCGGAGACCTGAGTTCGGATTAGTTCGGAATAGTTCGGAATGGTTCGGGATAGTTCGGAGACGCCTGAACCGTTCTGAACCGTTCGGATGTATCAGAAACTGATACGCCTGAACCGTTCTGAACCGTTCGGATGTACCGGAAATTTACCATGTTTTTAAAAGTATTTTTCTATATTTTTTGAACTTAGCTTGAACTTAATGTTTAAACATGTAATTTTATCATCATTGACATGGATAACTTACTGATAACTTAATAACCTTTCAACTGGTGGGCTGACAAAAACAGATACTTTAACTTAACTTATCACTTATCAGAATAATGAATCAAAACTTCATAATCATAATGAATCAAAAATGCCAAATTTACAGCATCAAAATTTACGTCGGGAAAAAAACCACCAAATTTACACCAAAATTTACGTGAGGAAAAAAAACACCAAATTTACAACATCAAAATTTACGTGAGAAATCGTGAGAAAAAATATGCCAAATTTACAATATCAATATTTACATGAGAAAAAACGCCAAATTTACAACATCAAAATTTGCGTGAGGAAAACAAAAACGCCAAATTTACAACATCAAAATTTGCGTGCGAAAAAAAACCGCCAAATTTACAACATCAAAATTTACGTGAGAAAAAAACGCCAAATTTACAACATGAAAATTTACGTGAGAAAAAAAAACGCCAAATTTACAACATGAAAATTTACGTGAAAAAAAAACGCCAAATTTACAACATCAAAATTTACGTGAGAAAAAAAAACGCCAAATTAAAAACATCAAAATTTACGTGAGAAAAAAAAACGCCACATTTACAACATCAAAATTTACATGAGAAAAAAAAACCGCCAAATTTAAAACATCAAAATTTACGTGGAAAAAAAAAACGAGAAATTCACAACATCACTTACAACATCGAGGACAACATTGGACGTGTGCCATAACACAGATAGAGGCAGGTGCCCGAACCAAAATATATAGTATATAGTATGGTACCTGCACCCATTTAGATACTGTGGTATCATTTGGATGACCAGCCCTTTTCCATGGACGAACCAACGATCAATCTGATGAGCCACCAGCTGCTCCCATTGCATGATGAAGCTCAGGCATAGATCCCGAGACGCAAAAGTCACGATTGCAAAAAATCAGTGCCAAGTGCCAATACCCCTGGCAAAGCCCTCCTGACCCTTGGCCCATGAAACATGGTGGACCTAAAATCTTGAACGAGATATCGTTCCAACCATGGGAAGCCTGGTATTAGCTAGATTAGAGAAGCAACTGAGCCATCCCACCATTTGTTTGAGCTATAAATCTTTGCCGAGAGTATAGCACTCCAAAAGAAGCCCCGTTTTCAAGCCAAGTTCTGAGGTTGTTGCAGTCAGCTATGTGATCCTCTTGGTGGTCAGACAGTTGACAGCACGAGACAAGGCGCAAAGCTCTCTACCATCGTTGATGTGTGGACGACACTTCTCTGCTCCCTAGCGGGAAGGGTGCACCAACAGCCAGCCAACAGCTGCGGAGGCAAAAGAAAGGAAGGCAGAAGAGAAGAAGAAAGAGAAGGCGACTGGACATCCACAAGTCATGAATTTCTATGAATTTTTCATAGCTTCACTTAATCAATCTTAATCAGAATACAGATGCTTGGAAGGTCAACAAAATTGGAAGTGCGGATGGATGCGCGGTTTGTGCTTCTTAGAAGCTACCGACAACGCGCGCATCAGGAAGCCAAGAAGAGGTGAAAGGGAGCTGAGGAGGACAGCAAGGCTCAAGTTGTGTGTAAGGAAATACAGAACACAAACATATCAGGGTAGATCCCCTCGGAGTATGCAAATCAACCCCTGAAATATTTTGTAGCGAGAAGACTCCTGGATGCAAGGCACGATCATTGCCAAACGATGTCACTTTCAGCCGCTGTGCCTTAGGAGTTACCAAAGACCTTGAAGGTTTCCATGCCAGCAATGAAAAACATGATCCGACCTGGTGAACGTGAACACACAGTTGCAGATGATGACGATGATGGCAAGTCAAAGGTTGAAGATTTTGTTTCTGACTTTCTGATATCCCCCGTCAGACTCACACACCTTATGAATTGCAATGCGTGGGTCCGGAATATTACTTTCCATGCCATATCATTGCCTTTGCTGCTGCCTACTGTACTTGTGCAAACGATGTCAAGCCGGTTCATGGGGTGGCTGGCAAATGTGGGTATTCGATATTCGTCCTTGTCAAGCTTCAGCTACCCGCAGAAATTTTGGTCAAGAAATTTGGCAGCGCAAAGAGTTTCAAACCTGGAGCTTTACTTGAAGCTAGCCAGCTCCCGCTATGATATGCACAACGTATAGATGGAGCCAAGCCAACCTACTCGTAGCTTGGTCAAAATGTGACACGACCACTACTTTCACCATCCCAGATTTCTACAAAGCCATCAACTGCCAAGCTCATGTCCATCAAACCAAACACCCAAGCGGCCATCGGAAAGTTGTGACAGCAGCCAAAATCAGCCAAAAACCCATCAAAACTCAGATTTTTGGCTCTGCAAATCCTAGATTCTTGCGATTTCTTGCGGATGTGGCCATGGATGTTACAACTCCACGTGGCGCATCTTTGGTGCTGGGCGCAGTGCTGGTGCCCTGGGGTGCAAATCGACATAATCGACCACTTGTACGTAGCATTTAAGGCAGTCAGAATGAAGTTCAGACTTCTTCAGTGATTGTTCTCTTCCTTTCGTTTGAAGGCATGTGTTGAAATTGAATTTGGACCTGAAACTTGGGATAAATGCAGCCTTAGGGCTCTGTCTTCGGAACGTAATAGACGGTGATTCAACATGCTTGCCGGGCTGGCTTGAATCCTTCCTCGGTCCATCCACATCCAAAAATAGATTCTTTTGGTTGTCTCAGAAGCTGCTTGCTTCGTGCGCACAGTTGCGGAGCTTCAGGCAACCCTCCTTGTCACGCTTGTCATGTGTCTTGCAGACATCACAAAGTGCCAGGTCTTTCTATTGACCTGGGTGGCACTGCACCACTTCACGCAGAGGGAGGTGGGATGCCGGAATAGTGATGCAATGTGTAACTTTCCATGATTTGTTGCGCAAGCGAGTCTGTATCTCAGGTCTGAACATGTTGCAACAGAGAGTGGCTTAGGCTTTATTTGTCAACTGGTATAATTTGTCCATCATTTTGATATGAAAGCATGATGCTACATGTATATACTGTACTCTTTCCCGCATTCCTGAGATCCCAGCATTGCCAACATCTTTCTAGCGGAATCCATGAGACTACATCACCCCAAAACTGGAAGCTCAAACTTGTTATGTTTCAAATTCAACGCCTGTTGCACGACAGATGTTGGATGATTACGACCATATTTTGGCAGCAAACTGTGCCATCGGTACAACAAATTGAGCCATGCTTTGCAGGTGGGATGGTTCGCCTTCCTTGGATCCCTCACCGGCTTCTCGCTGTCCTTTCTCATCATTCTGCTGGTGCCCCAAATTTTTTTGGGCCAAGGGTGGCCAAAGGGGCCGATGTCGTTCATTGGGCTTTATGTAAGATCTCCAAGGAGATCTTGAGGACTGGATAAGGCATGTCTTCAAGAGATTCCAGAGGGATTCCAGAGGGTACCGGAACCGACGAAACCGTCTCCGCAATGACAGGTGCCATATGATATCTCCCAGACGCTTTCAGGCGGTGACAAGGCACGGTTGACAGCCTCGGCAGCTACAAAGGTACTCTCACGTGTTTTCTGACACAAGACACATGATGCCTCAGGGTTCAACTCAATTCTTGGGGGCAACCCCAGAAAGAAGCATTTCATGAGTTTGTCTTGAACTTTGGGATACCCTCAAAATAGCCCAGAATGTTGCCGTGTTGCCAGTGACAAAAAATATGGGATTTTGATGGATTTTGAGGTTCCAAATTTTGAGACATGGCCAGGTGTTGATGCCATTCAGTTGGGACATGATGTATTGGGTCCGGGCCCAAGGGTCTCCAGTTGCACTGCCACCATAGCAGCCATCAACAGCCTTGACCTGTCTTGAATGATCTATGAGGTATCCATGATACTATGATATACTGATATACTATGAAAATACTATGGTATTCGGTATTAGTATCATGGGTGAATTGGTTGGAGATTTCGAGACGGTTTAAGTACACGTGGATTTTTTGTGGATTACGCTTCTGCTGAGGCAAGTTTCCTGCTTTGTTGGGTGTAGCGACCTCAACACTGGAGTTTTGATGTTTGCCATACTTGCAGTCACTCTCGCATCAATGTATGGTATATATGCATATCATAGGATATCACAGGTCCTAAAAGATGGTTCTTTTTACCAGATCAGGCACGCACTGGATTATCCGGATGTCACAAACTATTGACCTGTTTCTGATGCATTTGTTCCACATGTGCAAGGACCTACCCACTACTGAGCGAGTATGAGGTGCATTGACAGCCTGCTGTGTGGCATTTTCAAGCAATGTTTTTTTGACTGATACATTTCACGACACAAACCAGTGCAAATTCCTCTGCCCAAGGTTGTCGGTTGGGTAGCTAGTTCGCTGGAAGGTTGTTGCCGCTTGAGAAAATTTAACGCAAACCATCCCAAGAAACGCTGTCTTAACTTCTAGCCCTTAATTTCAAGTTCAAGATGTTCAAGGTTTGTTTCAAGGTTTGTTTACAAACTGTTTGGCCCCTGGCATCCCCTCTTGCGTCGTGTCTGTGTCTTTCTGACTTCGGGGCGTCCGTTCAAGCCGCCCAGGCTGCCTCCGGCTTCACGGTGGCAGGGCGCTTGATGTCCCTTCGGAGCACGTGGCCGGAAAGCTTAGGCTGTCAGGGATGTGGTGGATTCACCACGGCAGTGGATTCACCGAAAAAACAGTGACCAATAAAGGCACTTTAAAAGGTATATTACTTAATATAGATATATATATATGATTATATAGTTACTCGGGCTTATAAACCAATTAACTATAGTTATAAGTACTAGTACCAATAAGTACCATAAACCATATAATAATATTATAGTTATTGTGGTGTTATGCTATATTATGATATTATAAATCTATAGCATTTTGGGGTGCTAATGACATCAAATGGCCCTGTAGCCGCTTGAAGGGCAGTTTGTGATCCTTTGATTTCCACAATGACCTACTTAGAATCCAGAAATCACAGATCGCGGTCATAGAGCCACACATGTTTTGAATGGGTTAAAGTCACATTCACAATATCACGCTAGAGCACTTACACTCCCACCGTGCATCCAGAGGATGTTACCACAAGTCAGGACTTCTCTAATTCCGACGAATACGAGTTTTGATCATTTTTTAACTCACTATATAATATATATATATAATATACAATATATATAATATATACAATATAAATAAATATATATATATATATATCATATCCCATCATATCCCACTTATCAATTCAACCCATTGGTTTGTAGCCTAGGTGTGGTCTCTATGTGGCCGGTACCGTCTTGCTGCTCTTGTGCCTGGTCGTAGGTGGAATCTGGGTTGGCTCCGTGAGTGGGGTTTACACCGATATCAAATATTATATATGCCATATACATGGATGATATATATGATATATAGGTATGGTATAGATGGTATAAATGGTATATAATTATATTATATACCATATATACATATGGATAATATATACCATATATGTTTATATACCCAATATACGCATGTGGTTTCATATGGTGCTACTGATGTGTTTGGATCAGAGTGACAAGAATTTCCAGGGTTTGGTGATTGGTGTGCATCAAAAGGAACTGTTTGGACGGCTATGCCGAAACATGTGCGTTGAGATTTGTTGTTTGATTTTGTTGGGGTAAAGTGTCATCATTTACCAGCAGAGAAACTGAGCCTTACAGCAGCAAAAACCCTGGCCAGGGTCCACGGTTGCTGATGCACAGTGCTTTGACATGGATGTTTCCTTTTGCTTGATGTCCAAGAGTGTTCTTTTTTTATCTTTTTTTGGCGAAGCAACTGATGTTTTGGAAGTCGTGGCTGCAACACGTTGCAGGGTTTTTGACTAATCGATGCGTTCAAATTCCCAATTCCTCGGCAGGTGGCTTCTCAGTCTTGGCGCCGTGGTGTCTGGCCATGGCGAATGCATCTCGGAATTTGCACACGTGAGTTCCAAAACTCACCAAAAAGACTGCTGCATACTGTTGAATGTGTATATGAATGTGTAAGGTCTTGGAAAATCTCTCTGCAGAAGGCATTTTGAATTGGTGGTGTATAGCCACGAGAAGCCAACTGATTCATCTTGACAAGGGATGAGAACCTCAAAGATCTGTTGCAATATCGTCAAGATGAATGGCTTACAGAAGCATTCCAAAACTTAAGTGCAGGAATATGATATAACATTACGTAACTAGTATATACATACCATTACCTATACCATAACTTCGTACAGGAACATCCTAGGCATGATGCCATGGTGTCGGCTGAGGCCTGGGCCTTGTTGGTGTCCTCATTGCTGATGGCCTATGGCCTGGTGGCCGTCCGGAGACTCAAACGTGGCTGGGAAGTCCCTAAAATCATCTACGAAATCATCTATAACATCTATAAATGGTGATAAATACTATAAATGGTGCAATCATGATCATCTATAACGTTTGTAAATGGTGGTAAAATCTATAAATGGTGTATCATGGTGCAATAATCATAATCTATAAATGGTGATAGGCTATAAATGGTGCAACAATGATCATCTATATAAAATGATACAGATGGTGGATACTGATGCTGATGGATTTTCCATGATTTTCCAGCACGTCATGTTTGATTACCGGAGGCTACTTGGTTTTTGTGGAGGGCAAATCACGTTCCATGTGCAAACCCAAAGTTGAGTCTAACATATTCTAATGAGTTCCAGAATGTTTCAGAAAATTCGAAACCATACTGTGCATATGATTTGAGAACATGAATTGGAAGCACTTTCCAAAGGCAAAAATGGAAGTCTTGTAGCATTGAGGTGCCGCGCCAGTTTTGGCGGCAAGCCTCTCCGAGTTTCGAGCTGAAACGGCTCTACTGCAGTGCTGCCCGGGAACTCGTGGGTTGATAGCTGTCATAGCTGTCATAGCTGTCATAGCTGTCATAGCTGTCATAGCTGTCATAGCTCATTCCCAATATTCTCAATGGCTTGAATTGGAAAGTATGGAACTGTGACATACTGTGACAGAAATACAAGCAGTCCAAGAAATTGGCATATTGCTCAGAGCCAATTTGTGTACTCTATTGATCTCTATTGATCTCTATTGATCTCTATTGTACATCCATGTTCTTTACACCAGCATCCATTTGCAAGGTCGCCTTGGATGAAGCTCGCCTGGGGACGCAGTATGAACTGCAGGCCATGGGAGATGCAAAAACCGATCACTTTTCGGAGCTCTGCTGGAGCTGAAAAGCCATGCTGTTTGTCGCAGGATACGATCGCAGAGGCTCGCCTTGAGACTGCGTTGGGGACCCAGCATGACCCAGCGGGATGAGTTGGGCCATGACTGTTCCGTCTGACTGTTCCATGACTGTTCCATGACTGTTCCATGACTCCTCAGTTGGCCCACGTTTTCCAAGGCAAAGAAGCGCTCAGTTCTGGGATCCCTCCTTGGAGCGTGCCTTTGCGTTGCTTCAGCTCACCATGGAGGTACCGCGCTGTCGTATACGCCAAAGGGAATGGTCATCCCATGGCATCTCCCTATTAGGGGTTGATAGCTGTTAATAATTGTTAATATACTTATAATATACATAATATTACATATATATATATATATATGTATTATTTATATTATTTATATATTTTACATTTTTTTAAATATATTATATTACATATATATATAATATTATATTATCTTATATATATTATATTACCTATTGTAAGAAATCCCGATAATAGAGATGACCGCCATAGTACAATATTTCACATTAACCAAACATACCAACTTTTGACCATGGCACACATGGCAATCTTTGAGTTCAACCTGAGGAGGATCATTGTAAGAAATTCTATGCTATTAAGGTCTCGCCAGGTGACAGATTTTGATCCAGATTTTGATCTAACTGCAGATGAACGAATATATGATGCAGGGTTGAAACAACACTCAACAAAAAATGAAGATCCACCAAAAAAGACTCACCACGTATTCAGAGCAGATGTTGCCGTCTTTGTTCCAGTGATTCACCTGCCTGCTGATCCTGTCTACGAGGAATGCGAGCTTTTACATCTTGAGCTCACCAACGGCGTGCCGGGCCGACCTCATCAACCTGCTTGCGGAAGCACTCCAAGGTGCCCGGCGGGGCCTACCAAGTCCCATGGAAGATACGGAAGTTGTTGAGATTTTCACGCCATTTTCATCCATTTTCCATCTCCGTTCAATGATTCGGCAATATTCAGGATGTGTTCCAAATTTCCAGACCTGAGGCGACTTGAGCAAGCCGAGGACTTGTGGAATCTGAGTTTGGGCTTGATCCTGGACGATGATCACCTTCCAACCTGGGGATTTGAGCTGTCAAAAGTGTTTTTTGTACACCCACATGGCAATTTCTAGTAAGGAAAATGATTCTAAATCAGAGGATTTTACTTGTAGGGTAATTATATGTAATTATACCGTGTACATCCATATACCCCATACTGCCATACCCACGTAAAACATGTTAAAACATTGTAGAACCACCAATACAAAGGCTATGAAAGGAGTACTTGTGGACCGCAGAAAGGCACAGCAAACTTGGGACAGTAGAGATCCAGCAGCATCCCTAGGAATTTGTAAAGGGACCAGAGAAGATCTTCGCTTCACGGCAGGACGTCGCACCTCGGGTTGACTACTTGGCACAGCTGCATGGAGCTCTGAGACAGGCGTGGCGTGGGCAAAAATGCGATTGGAGTTTTGCTCCAATCGCCACAAAACAACTGCAAGGTGGTGCCCCATAGTTAGCTAACTTGGTTTATAACTCCAATATCTCCATAACTAGCGGTTTATGACACATACATCTATAGTTTATGGGGGTTATAAACCAACAAACATAACTTGGCGGCACCACACTGTGGGGATCTGTGGGGATTCGACCAATCACTGAGCCAAGTGCGTCAGGCTTCCATTGAAGCGCGTGGGGGTTCCAAGTCGACACGACACCTGTGGCGAAGGACGCTCTTTGGACTAATATTGTCTTATGATTCTTATGCCTTCTCTATACGAAGAAGACTGAACATACTAACTTCATCTAACTTCTACTCCTAGTGCTTCTACTATATGGATAAAGTTGCTGTTTGTTTTGGACCAGACATCGTGCGATTCCCATGCATCAAGTTCATGGAGGGTGTACCTTCCCTTGGCAGCGAACTCTAGTTTGCTGCCCTTACAGACAGTATGCAGTACACATAAATCAAATAAACCTTGGCTTTGGCACACTTGTGGTAGACACCTTTGGTCTTGTGATGTATATGTGCAAACCTACGAAACTAATAGAGGCAGAACTTCAGCAGAACGGAAGAGTTTTCACCATGTGGGGATGGGTATTGACCCACAACCGGACCATTTTTTATTGCGAGGACAAACATCCATTTATCATTAATGTTACATAATGTTCATTAATTTTGTATACGTTTCTTAATGTCAAATCATAGGATGGAATTGATTTAGTGGTTGGAACCAGCTGCAGCTCATCAGGGCTATTCTGGATTTACATCCATTTGTCCAATTCCGGTTAATTGAGTTTAAATGCATGTCATATTGATTGTGGCTTTTGGATCAATTATGATCTACCCTCCGGTAGACTAAGATGCGGAAAGCCCACCATTTGTAGATCATTTTCGATGGCTTCCCCATGTTTCCCCATGGGTTTTCCACATCTTTTGACGAAGCACCGGTGGCTGCGGTCGTTTCCACCGTCGTCTGGAGGTCGTACTGCCTGTCGCTGGGAGGAGCTCATCAACCGATGCCTTCTGCTGGAGGATATCGAGGTGTGACGGGCAACTGGCGACAGAATTTACATCATAAAGCGGCTTCTTTTAAAGGTCTTTTAAAGGTCTTTTAAAGGTCCTTCTTTCGTTTTCTTTCCATGCTCGGAGTGGGGTTGTTAGACGTGAAAAATCATCTGGGGAAAGTTATGATATGTTATTAAAATGTTATGATAAACATTGACAATTGATAAACAATGGGCTCTTGAGGTGCCCGATTTTGAACACAAAATTGTGATGAAACCCTACATGGCACCTGCACCTCGGCGATGATTCCAGACATGGAAGGCCTGAGAGTTAGCGGATGAATTTTGGTGAAATCATTGACCAAGAAATTGCAATCCGTTTCAGAAACTATGCATTTTTTTTAAATGGGAAACACATGGAACAAATCCATGATCATTATCAAAATCTACTGATTATTCTGAAATCCATTGGTTTTGATTTCGCCAATCTCCCAGGAGAATCTTCTTCCCTCGATTCTGGAAACATCGACTCTTTGGACCTGGGGCCCTTTACGATGGCACGGGAGCCCGAGAGAGCCTGGGAGGGCCGGGAGGGCCCGGTGCCCCGCAGTTTCCGTGTGAACTGAGGCTTTGCCAGTTGCCGGTGCTGCGCACTGCCTGGCACAAGTTGGTGGTGTTGTGGCTGTCCATCTTGAGGCGCTGGAAGCTACCGCGTCAGCGGGTCGGTGTTTCAGCCAGAAGATAAAGAAGTAGACAGACTCAGCTAGACTCGCTAGACCTGGTATGAAGTTGGGTCAAAGGGAACATGTTTCAGCAGTTCCGCTGGCCTTTCGTAGTGTTTTGGCTCAAGAGCCTTACGATTTGTGCCTCAAGTTCCAACCGATCCATGATGTTTCAGCTTCTTAGCGTCCTTGCAGCGACCTCAGTTGAAGCACTTTGCAAAGTGGCCAAAGGGGTTGGTGCATGTTGATCGGTATGTGGAAGCATGACAAGGTCACTACGTGCCAGCTTATGGTGGGCTACAAATAGTTTTCACATTGAAGTTGGTGTCTTATTTCCATCATTTTTCATTTGCATGTATGTATTCATGACCTATGAATATGAATTACATTACTTTGCATGATATTCCTGAACTATAATCATATACATATATATATACATATTGCATTATATTGCATGATAGAATGATATGCAGATATGCATATAGAATCATATAGAGAGAATATCAGAACATCCATTCAGAATTCTTAGATCCACTTCTGGGTAGCTCCTCTACTCGTGGATTCTACGAGGTACTGGCCCTAAGTCACTGGGCACGTGCTGCCTCAACAGAGACCTGCAGTCTTCCAGGCACCTGTCCTAGCAGGACGGCCCATCGAATGAATGTCCCATGTGCCGTCGACAGATGTTGAAAGACTGCAGGACTGAGGGCTCATTGTTCATCCAGAGGAATACAAAGTGCCTTGACAGCGGAGTCGGAGAAAAAGGGCTGGAGAAGGGTTTTGAATGTCTAGACTTGGAGAAAGTGCCTTAGCGCATGCCGAAGTAGTGAGTTATCATTGGTGTTGTCGTCTTCATCAGCTGATTCCCTGTGCAACTCAAACATGCTCAAACAATCATGTCTTGATCAAACTCTTACTAGTTTCCACGGACCCCAACAGTTTAAGCTCTATGGCATGTTTCTCAAGATCAAAGATCTTCAGAGCTTCAACAGCTTCACAGTAGAAGCATCATGCACCACTTATAGACTCATATAAACTCGTGAATCGTCCTGACTCCCGGAGCCCATGGGTCACCAAGGGCCCACATTCGCAGCAAGCTGGCTGAGCTGGCTGAGCTTGGAGCTGCGGGCGCTCAAAAAACTCCCGTCTGCCCAGATACCCTAGAGCCTTGGTGGAGTCAGGGGATCAGATTCCCAGCGGCTTCAAAGGTGTGAATTTTATGCTGAAAACATGTGCTGAAAAAATGTGCTGAAAAAATGTGCTGAAAAGAAAAGGCACTGGAAATTCTGAACTGATTGAACGCGCTGCTTTGTGGCTTTGCATCCTTTGATCCAAGGAAGGCGTCAGCCATGGCAGTGCTTGAGCCTGAGATCGATTGGATGTGTTGAGAATGTTGAGACATGTTGAGCCCCAACTTCTGGGGTGATTTATGATGATTTGATGTCGAAGATGTGTTCATAAATTGTTTATACATGTTCTCGACCATCTAATCCCTGTCTTTGGTGGCACAGAACAGGATCCCGTAACGTCCTGCAGGTCTCTACATCGCAGGTGGATGAGTGCTCCGGTCTTGCAGCGAGCAAACTGAACGACGACCTCTATTGGGTGGCTCGATGGAGTTTGACGAGTTTGACGGACCTTCACCTATATACAGTATTCATACACCTGAAATGACTTGTTTCTGCATCATTATTTTGGGAAAATGAATGATTTCTAGAAGAAAACACATCAGATTAGTGGCATGGGCATCACCCATCAGCAACCGCTGGAGGTGAACAACGACTCTGGTGCAGGTCCCGTTTTGTCTCTCGGTAGAATTGGATCACTTGGATAGCTGCTGAGGTGGTGACAATTGATATCGTGTGATGTTTACGGATTAGCTTCAAAGTCTGCATCTTCATAATATCAATTATTATTGTTTTCTCATTTTGAGAGACTCACTTTGTCAATCAATTCATTTATTTATGAGGCCTTGCTACCATGTTTCTTGGAATGTGACAAGAAACATCGGCCCTGCTTTGGTATTCAGGCCCTTCTTTTTGAGTTTTTGGCATGGACATGTAATTATTTTCGTGGGGAGAGTCTGCGATGAACAAGAACAGTGGGTCCGTGAAAGCATGTTGAATATTATTGGCTGAACATGACTGAACCATGCAACTTTCAGCACCAAAACTGTCCATATTATGGTGACATCATGACATTTGAAGACTTGAACAAAATTCAGAGCTGTGGTTTGAGACCCACCCTCAGCATCTCCAAGCACTTCCAAGCTGTTCCTGGACGTTTCTCTGTTGCGGCAATGACAGAGGTATGGTATTCGAAAGAACGGCCAGCACGTAGCACGTCTGCGTGTGTCGGGTGCTGGAGCCAATGATTGGGAAGATATTGCAATCGGCCCAGGAGATTGTCCCCAAGATGTCCATGATAGTGCTGATAGTGCAGTGGACAATGGTGGACAAGCTTAAGGGATCTTAAGGCTGTGTTCCATTGTTGGTTTCCTCTTCTTTGTTTTCTTCTGGTGTTTGCGGTGATTGCTTCGAGCTTCAAGGGTTCTGTTGCGATAGGACCCACAAAGGGCAAATCTTACATCTACGTGGCCGATGCTTGGTTTGAGACAGATTCCTGGAACACACATAGGGCATGGCAAACGGATCCCGCTTCAAGCGTAACTACGTATATATCTTTAATGTATAGCTGTGTAGTGAACTTTGTAGCTGCGTAGTGAGCTTCAAACTTCAAGCTGTAGTAAACTTTAGTGAACTTTGTAGTACATCCAACTTACCTGCTACGGTTTTTTGAATGTAAGTCAAACATAATAAATGTCGCCTTTGAATCAACGGACTCAGGACGTGGGTGACAATTATCGCAAGCGGGGCACTGTGCAAATCTACCGTATGGAAGAGCCAAAGGTGGAGAGGGGGAGAAACCGCAACGATGACATCAGGCAGCCTGATCTTGCAGACTTGCCTTCCTGACTATGTTGATTTCTAGTTTAGTAATGTCTGACCTGTTGAATTCTGGTTCTGGAAAAAACACTGGTAAACGCTGGTCAAGCAATGTGAAGCATCCGTTTCAGTTCCTTTGACAGGAGATTTGCAAACCTGAATCAATTCCTATCCATGTCGCAGTAAAGACATGCTGACGTTGGAAGAGCTTAAATAGCTGACATTTGATCAGTTCGATCAAAGATTTGTGGCAAGGAGAGAATCGGAAACTTTCACCCCATACCCATATGCTCCATGTATGGAATATTTACCAACATTTACCCCATAAATCACCCAAATGTAGGTAAATATACCATACATGGAGCATATGGGATAGATAGAAAAGGGGCAGCCGTTTTCGGCGATCCATGGCTCGCTGGTGCCGAGGGTCAGCGCTGTGCGTTTTGATGTCACCTATCCCAACAACATGAAGTACGACTGCGAGGCGCCTGTGATTGCAAGCGGAGTTGACTGAACAATGGCAGTTTGAATAGTGGCAATGTCTTCAAGGTTTGAGTTGTTTGGAAGCAAGTCTTCCGCCCGGTTGTAAACTGAGAATTAATTGCTTTTGCCTGCCATGCCCTGAACATCCCTGAACCTTTGTATAAAGTTATCAGTTATCATCTAGAAATATGTAGAATCTAGTTGAAGTATTCTCCAGACTCGCCAAGCCAAATCTCTGGTCTCGGTTGAATGGCCTCGGAAGCAACATTTATTGTAGCTCTGTTGCTACAGATTTAGCTAAGTTTAGTGTTGATAAGCGATATACAAGCGATGATAAGCCTGCAAAATCAACAAACAAAAACATCATTTGTTTCACCGAGCGTTTCTCGCTCCTGAGTCCATCTTCATTGACAAGGGCAAGGGTGCCAGGAAAGCAGGGACCGAAGGACGAGTGTACCTCATCACCAAGGCTTGGGTCTCCCTGCGGTATGGGTCAAAAACATCCACAATTTCACCAGAAATTGATGTGAGTTGGGGTCAAAATGGTTGAAGACCACTGTAGTATTGCAGAAGCATTTTTGTCAGATGCGCAGGAAACATCAGGAAACACTGTAAAGCGATAGGGCCCCCCTCCAAAAGCGATAATGGCACAACACACTGGAAAGCGATTGCTCTCCCAAAAGCCATAACCATGATAATAGTAATTACTATAATTACTGAGATGTAAAGGATTTTGATGGGACCTCATATATAGAAAGAAGTAAGTAGTATAAACCATCCCCAAATTCCAAGTCCAGGAACCGTATAGGACTTGGTCATGTTTGCTGTTTCTGTCCAAGATAAAGGACTCATATCCAAATGTTGAGCTATAACTTATAATAAAGATACATGTAAAGATACATAAAGATACTTAGAGCTACCAGTATATACAGCCGTATAAGTTCCAACTCCTTTCATTTCTTGATTGTCCTAGCATTTCCTAACTACATTTTACATCTCGATGGCCTGGGTCTAGAGAAATTGCTGGTCAACGACATCAGAATTCACAATTTCCATATATTTCCACGAATTTACCAAGTTTTTTTGGGGATGGGTTGAAACCACAACACTCCAATTGTCCCAAAGCTCCTCAATCGCACCTCCAGGGCGACAACAGGGCCAGTGACCCCCAGTGGCGTAACTTGCCACAAGCTGCGGAAGAAAGTGACACGGTAGAGGTTTTTCAAGGTGTGATGATGAACATGTAGATGATATATATATATATAGATATATGAGCAACCGTAAAAAACCCGGCAATACTAAATATGTATTCGACGGACATTGGTTTATGGAAATTGATGGAAATTGTTAAAAACACGAGGTAAGCGATGGGACCTTCCCAAATTAGCGATACCCTTTTCAAGGTGATGTCATCATATTTCTCTAATATCCACATTAGCGATACCCAAATATCACATATTATTCATGGTTCATCACATATATATATATATATAAATGCAGCAGCTTCCTGCAAGCGATACCCCCCAAGTTTACCATATATCATTATTGTACAAACGTGTGGTAAGCGATGGGACCTTCCCAAATTTGTGGATGTCTTTTCCGTGAACCTAGGGTTTTCACAATCGCTCATATGATTATTAGATATTATTAGATTAACATCTGGTTTGATGATTCATTTCGATATTTTGAACATGCCAATAGCCAGCACCCCTGATGAACACGCGCTGGCCGAGACTTCATGTGGGATGACGTTTTGGAACATGGCGAGCATAAGAATGACGAATTCATGAGATGAAAAGACATAATTTCCACCAATCCGATCAGCAACAACAATTGCTCACCTCATTGAAGGTAAACAACCAGTGAAACCTAGAAATATCATGAAATATAGCTAGCATCCCAAGGCCCCCACAGCAAACATCAACACATAGAAGCAGACATTTGAACACTGGCGCCAAATCAGAACAGGCAACATACAAACATCAACTCCCCAGAACCCCATCGTTCCATTTTTTTTGGGCTGTGTACCACATTTTTTGTGCGTGACTTCTAAACAGAGGTTTGACACATGGCATGACATGTGTGCTCAAACATGGGATGCCGAAGAAACTACCAATTCAGATAATTTACCTCCTATTAACACGAAAGCAGTTGTTCTTGGGGTTGAATAGGTTCGACCCAAGTGTCTGTTGAACGTTTGCTTTGATTGGCATGATAGACTGACATAACAATATGATTTATATGATGTATGTTGCTTAGCATATAATACATATACGATCTAATGTAATTATAGATATTTATATACGTATACATAATATACTAACCTTGACAATAATACCTTGACTTGGAGTAAAATGATAGGCTCCCACGCCCAGGTGGTGGAGATGTCTTCTACGTCGATTTGCCCAGAGAATCTGCTTCGCTTAGCTGGCAGGCAGAGATGAGCTGCGGATCAATCTGAGTTGTAACAACTTCACACCTAGGATGGGGGAATTTCGCCAAAATTACCTTAGTTCAGGTTGGTGAAGCATTAGAGTTCCTGCTTGTGCATAGGGGATCATAAGGGATGGGCATCAATATGATTCCCTTGGTTTGGCACCCAACAGGCAACCAGTACACGACTCAATTTGGTCCTGGCAACGGGTGCGGACATCACCCCGCGTGGCAACCTCATTGCTGTAAGGAGACAGCTTTGTTGACCTGATATTTGACAGATGAGTATCGGATTAGCCCAAAATTGGACTGGTTAAGAAACTGCAACTTTGGTGATGCTCATGAATTTGCCTTTGGAGAGTTCATCAATTATTATTTTTTTTTTTAAAAGCAAGTCATAGCCGAATCAGAGTCAGCTGCATCTTGAGCCACCAGGACCTACGGCGAGATTCAAATCTGGCCACGACCATGTGAGTGGAGTGTGGAGGTGGCCCCGTTCAAAATGTGCCAATGGTTGTCAATGGTTGCCAATGGTTCAACGACATATCGGGCTTTTTGCAGGGATACCCAGCATTCCCTGATCCTTAGCCTTTGTTCTGTTGAAAGGAACGTGTCATAATGTGTCAATCTTGTTGCAAGCATATAAAGGATATGGCAGTTTTCATTGGAAGGGTAGCGTGAGCGTGCGTATTATATAGTAAGAAATCTTTGGAGAAGCTGTGACCCGCATGCGTAGATTGCGTAAAGATGTGGCATGGTCAACCTTATCGCCCCAAAATGAACGGTTTAATACACAAATGGACCAATGTTGCGAGTCCATTGGTACCCAAGTCTAGATCCGTATCCAATACCCCATGTGTAAATGATCATAATATGTCATGCATTATTATAAAATTATATTGTATTATATTATTTGATATTATATATTATATTATATGATATGATATTATATTATTTATATATTTTTATGATATTATAAAATATTATATTATATTATATAATATTATATTATATTATAATATATTATATTATATTATAATATATTATATTATATTATATTATAATATAATATAATTATATATATTATAATTATATATATTATATTATATTATATTATATTATATTACATTATATTACATTATATTACATTATATTAAATTATATTGTATTATATTATATTATATTCAATTGTATTATATTACATTATATTAAATTATATTGTATTATATTATATTATATTACATTATATTAAATTATATTATATTACATTATATTATATTAAATTAACTTATATTATATTATACTATATTATATTATATTATATTATATATTATGCAGGTATGTCCCATATACATAATATATGCATACATATTATTATATATTCCATATAGTTTTTTCATTCAACATCATTCCATAAATTTAAGGAGGCATCCTTGCGCGCAACTTGGTCAGGAAGCCCTGAGTAAGCAACCTTGTGGAGTAGCCAGCAAGAACGAGCAGCAGGGTGAAGCCATTGCATTTGGCAAGGCGCCGATGCTGCTCGATCCTCCTCGAACCATGGGTTTCTGTGGGACAACTTTTTGGTTCTGGCATGTTTTTGTGTTGGGATCAGAATCCTTGTGAGGACTTGACATTTAGCGGCTTAGCGTGATGAACACGTTTCTGCCACAGACAATCGACGCTAGCTATTCTCCTTCCTGGTTTGTCATACTTTGCAGTTGATGCAGCATGTTTTGTATTTTCCCTGAGTCTTTGTGCAAACTAGTGTGAGTGCCACCAGTGGCAAGGCTGAAACTCACATGACCCATTCAGGGGGGGTGGTTTGGAACCACAGTCATTTGAGCAGGACGGCGACCACTACATCACAGTGAGTGAAGGTTTCTTGGCAAAATGAACTGATAATTGTCACTTGATAAAACAGCCCAGGGAAGCAACGTTTGGAGAACCCTTCGAAGTGAAGACTACCGAATCAATGATATCGAATGTCTTTTTACCTGACTCTATGGGTGTACAGTAATTTATGTGTCAAACTCGGGGTGCCTCAAAAAGATGGTTGGCACTGAAACTTGCGAAAAGATGTGTGCCCCAGGGTCCAGTTTTCATCTTCAATATCTTGGCTGTGAAAAAGACAGCTGCCACTTTAAGGAGGTGGGGGCGTTGAACCCAGGTAAATATCCCAAAGTGTGGTACTTTGGCATGACCCAACGCGGCCTGGCTGCATCGGAAATGGGCCGAGAAGACCTTCTGGGAAAGCCAGAGCCATGTGGGCTTTGGGGGTTGGGGTTGTTTGAAAACTTGGAACCTCAAATTCCGATTTGGGGGTTGATCATCGTATTCAGTGGCGTTTCCATGGCACAGCGATGGTCGTGGTCGTTGTCGTTGTCGTTGGGATCCCAGGTTTCCAGAAAGATATGATGGACAAAGCAAAGGCAGAGGCGAAAGCCATGGAGGCTCAGAAAGTTGCCTGATTCAGCAAGTAGTGAAGGCACACGGTGGAATGTTTTGGACTTAGCAAATCAGATATCAAGATGAAACTTTCACAACCACTGCTAGTGTTTTACTATGGTTACTATTGTGGGTGTTTAAATACGTATGTTTGACAATGTTCTTGGGTGAATATGGTGACAACCAATTATAGTAGTGGGTTTACTTCACCAGTTTTCAGACAAACATATCGCATGTGGTGGGTTCAAGAACTACTTCAGATCCATGCTGGCATGCATTTTCCCTTAGATTTTATATACATTATTTCACCTTTGTTCAGGAGTTATAAAAATCTATTTGGATGCTGTCCAGTTTGTATCGTGGTAGAATGCGATATGACAAAAAGGATGTAGAATGTTCGAAACGTTTGCTACGAAAGGAGACAGCTATGGACAGCTGTAATCAAATCACTCAGACAGTGGATGCCTCACCAGCAGAGTTTGATGCGACAGCTGCTACAATTTGTCTTCAACATTCTTCAACTATATTTGGCTGTTTTGCCATTGATTTTGTTGGTGTTTCTTGGAAGGAAACTTACAATTTTGCAGTTGAAAGCTATTATGACAGTCGGACAGAGATTTCTTGTCCTAAACATCCACCGGCACATCCACCGTACCTGGCGTAGCTTTTGTTAGTCGTTTGGCCGACTGGCCAGAAACTCTCGCAATCAGCGTGGAGCTTTTGAAAAAAAGGCGTGCCATTGTGAATTTGATGAGATGTGCGCTCGCATCTTCCCAGCCATTTATGGTATATAATACCCTCTGGTTACTTAACATAGCCATGGTATAGATGACCCATAGAAATAGATGGTTTACCTATTAATAGCATGGTGATTTTCTATGGCTATGTAACAAATAACCAGATGGTAGATATTCTGTCAGGTCGTTTATGTTCTTCGATGTGCAAGTGGCAGATGCATGCACCCCTTTCGCATGGCCAAGCTCTGCATGGTTCTTGTTCACTCGAACAGCCCGGCTTGCACTTTGCTAGCAAAACAACATTTACGTCCATTCAACAGAATTCTTGTTGTAACTGTACAGACAGTACAAAACATGTGGTTCACATGTGCGTTGTGTAGTTTCAATTTTCTTTGTGCAATCCTCTACAAGACTGGCAAAGTCATGTCAATGTATTGACAGCGACTAGTGTCATAATTGAGGCCTCAACTCAACATGTGCATAATAAGCCACTCCAAGGTCGGTATGGCAGCATTCAAATCATGTCATAGAACAGAGTAGAGATAAGTACAGGGAAGCTCTTTGCCACCTTAGATACTGCTCTGAAAAAACTCCATTTATATTCAATATCTCTACATGCACAATCATACACATATATGTGGTTGAAATGAGTTGAGCCAAGTTGCCCTTTTGTTTGGACTTCTTGCAATGCCGAGCTTGGCTTTTTACGGTTCAGCGCGCTTTACAGGGTCACCACGAGCCTCTTGTCCAGTCTGATTTGACTCGGCTTGAAACGTTGGTGCCGGCATCTTTTCTGATGCGATGAGAACCCTGCAGGGTGCGTTGAAGACTTTTGTACAGACTTGAACTGTATTGGTTTGTGAGACAATTCCAAGGCATGCACATCCGTTGGTAGCTGGTAGCCACAAACGACGGCCCAAGACCATAAACACTCAAGTTGACCCTTCTGGAAGCGAGCATTGAAAACGTATGTTGCATATTACTGCATTTTAACACCAGGTCGCTCCATATTTGCTAAACAATCAGAAGGTTTGACCGTGCAAGCCAGAGGATAAAACCGGGTAAAATGAGTAGGGTTCAATTTGGACAAGGCATTCCTGTACTTAGGAATAGGGTTGATTTTCGAATCCAACGTAATTAGAACCACAAGACTCAGACTGGACGGTAGTCATCATGGCCTCCATAAGTGCAGTCGCTCCCAACAAAGTCGCTCGGTAGTGCCTTCAAGTGCGCTGCTGAGATATTCATATGACTGGGACAGAAACGTCAGAAACGTCAGTTGATTGGACAACACATCTGGATGGTGCTTTCAAACATTTTTTATCTTCCATAATATATGGGATAGTCCTTCCCATTGACTAATATTTTTCAGAGGGGTTGAAACCACCAACCAGACATGTTTGATATTGTTTGATCAGCTCTCTTCTTTCGAGTGTAGGTGGCAGTCATGGTGCAAGAAAAGTGAAAAAGTGACAACTCAACGAGGGATGGGCCATGATGGGCCTGTGGCTTCCATGTAGTAGCCACCAAAGCATGGCAATGATCCAGGCAGTGGTGGTGCGCAGAGGTGGATAGTCCTCAGGCATCCTCAAGAGCTTGCCACCAGACAGCAGCTCTGACCACATGGATCGAGTCACGATGAACGTGGTGTTCTAGGACAAAAGAGTCGGGCACATGTGCCGATTCCTATTGATTCCTGTTGTTTTGTTTTGACCAATTTCTTACCTATCATGAAGAAATTTTGATATATTTATATATATATATATGATATATATATTATATTATATGATTATATGATATATGGTTATATGGAGATGTTTTCAAGGCATTGGCGGCACAGCATCAGCCGCTGAAGATTGGGAACAAAGATGGCCCTGCAAGTCCGACCCGAGCCGAGTGCCTGGTAGTGGAAAAGTGCTTGGCAAGTACAAGAGACATAGAGAAATATGCACACGTACTATATGTACATATATATATAAACACATATATATATATATTATACAGTAAACATATATATTATACAGTAAACATACATATCATATTTATATATAGAGAGTATGTAGTATACGAAGATCCATAGACGCTTCAGGCGCATGCTGGCTTGTATCACACAGCAGATTGCTCTCCGGCTATCTTTGCCCCGAACGTGTACATCTTAATCTGCTTCGGCCGTGTAATCAGAGCAGGGCTGTAAGATCCAGGTTGCTCATTTGGTACACATGGGGTTGTTGATATCCGGAGTTTAAGATTAAAACAATAACAGTTTCGATTGACATGCTTAAAAAACACAATTGATTATTTCAAATATGTCGTTCCCGAATGTTTTCGAAAGCACCCAACCATTCAGTAAACAGCCCCCCGGCATCATTGGAGGTCACGCGTGTTGAGACTCGTTGCCCTGGCCACTGGTGCACTCAGTGCAGGGGGGCCACAGGCATCGATGGGAAATCAGACATGGATCCAAGGTGAGGCAGTGAGGCAAGGTGGGACTGACCTGAAGTGGAATTCTGAAACTACCACAATTCTTCTGAGGTGGAATTTGTAGTGAGACTTTGAAACTTTCTGGATCTTACAAGGAGTCTTCGAAGCCATTTGCAGGATTCCCATCGGTTGTCAGCAGGATTTGATGTAGTGACACGCTAGAAATGACCCGTGGCATGTTCTTTATGGGAATACTGAATCCTAACAAGCCTTGTGCTGATGCAACTTGACGTGGATTAGCCTGATTCAGGGTGTCCTCTATGCACAAGGTTCAGTTTGTATGAGATTGAGTAACCTGTGGTTTGACAAAAAAACGTTTTCAGACCCCATTCCAAGATCCCATTCATGAACAAATATATCTGCTGTCTGTATATATGCATATAAATATATATATATATATTCAAAAGCTACATACTCATGTGGCCTGAAGCCACATGTTACTCTGCAAGTTTCAGATGACCAGCTGAATTGGATGCCAATTGGTCTGAGGTCCTGATCCTGAGCCGCCAGATCATGCTCTTCTTTGATATGAACGGGCCGTGGGCCTTTGGATCATTGACCCAGGGGACCCAGGTTGGGTTGATGGATTCGCATAGAAGCGGACGCGCTGAGATGCTGAACATGCCTGTGATGATTCATAATCATTCACCATGATTCATCATGATTCATGTATTGAACCTGACTTTCATCGCTTTCATCCTCTCTTGTGCTTACTTCAAGGGTCACCTGAAATCATTTAGCCAGACTTTGTTTTAGGATCCTCGAGTGAACAGCTGAATCTCTGTGAGGCGGTCTATGTGCTGACACTGGGCTACTTGGTGGGCACCACCTATTGGAGTTCCTTCCGATGGTCGGATGCTCAGCGTTGGCCACGACAGCGATGACATACCCTTGGCTGATCCGATGCCACAAAAGGATATGATGAAACTAGATTGCATTATATATGAATGAGTATATTATATGATTTTTGTTTCCTAATTTAATAGCTGTACATATACATATATATATATATATACACATATTGGCTATTTGATTCTTTGCAGATCTTTATTACAACGCAGTTGTTCTATCATCATAAAGCTACGATAGCTATGGAGCAAGATGGGCAAGAATTTGGACTCCGCTGAGATTCAGGCGTGCGGCCGGTTGGTATGGTCTTTATAGTAACCGCAACACGGACACTGGCAGTCGGGGCTGCTCAGCTGGGGCCAAGGCAATTATTTTGGGGACTGCGGAACCATGGAGACACGGTCCCACCGGAAGCCCGTGAGATCATGGTCCCCTCTGCAAAAATCCATGGATTCATGGAGCATTCCACAGATCTTTCGGGCAACAGGTAGCCATCATGTGAAATGGATGATGGGAACATTTTCACCGGAAAGCCCTAGAAAATTGATGGTAAAAACATGTAAAAACCATGGTTTCCGGTTAAGATTTTTCCTTAAACCAACCCAGTGAATCAACTGTCAATTCGACAAGTCGTGGTTCACCTGAGGTCTACTGTGGTGTGCGACATTGCTCTCGCGACTGGTGACACCCTTGTCCTACCACTTCCTGCTTCTGTCCGGTGGCCAAGATACTTTTGGGAAATGGTACTACTGTACTACTGGAATATCACAGCATACCACGGACATATCGCCAAGATTTGATCAAGATTTGACCAGCTTCAATCTATTGTGGGACCAAATAGCAGACCTGCTTGACGTGATCATCAGCAGATGAACCGCAGTCTTCACAATGCTGACTGCCGCTGCCTCTCTCACTACTACCACCCTCATAGAACAACTGTGTAATCAACAGTCCCTCTTCAGACAGCTTCAGACACCTGGAACTTGCATGTATTGGTTCTGGTGTGGAATATATAATATGATATATATAATATGATATATATATATGATATATATATATGTATGTATATATATATATATATGTGTTCATATATATATGTAAATATATATTATATATATACATATTTATATATAATGTAGCAATATGCATATACACATACACATGATATATGCATGTACACCAGGATAAAATTATGATTCATGATGTATATCGAACATACATTCGATTACATGTTTATGGATGACCCATGGCACCCGCCCTCGATCCGCGAGGATCCAAGCCAAAGGGACCAGCTTTCAGGTTGGCATTCTGGAAATTTTCAGGGTCAAGTCATTGGGTAATAACACATTACTATTTATATAATACTTAGTAATACGAAACATGTTTGATACTAAACATGACTAAACATTACTAAACATTGACTAAAATACAATAAAATACCTCTGGTTTCATGGGGGTATTAAATTGACTCATCGACTACACAGCGGGCTTCACCAGGCAATGCGGCAACACAACAGTCCATGCGGCACCTCTTGCCCCCAGCCGAATTACCCATGCCCTGGTCACTGTGTTTGCGGCTTGTTCCTGTCAGAATCCTTGGTGCTATCCTGTGCAGGCAGCTTTGGATGAGATGGATGTGGTTCCGACCTTGTTGCCATCCAACAAGGTCCCGATGGGGAATGATGGGGAGGAACGCTGCCAGCACGCTGTGACAATGTTGGCCAGTGTTGGTCTTTGAATCGAAGCCTATTTCTAATCCAGTGTGTATGTTCCATGCTTGGGAACTCCCTGTGTAGTTCAACATTTGGACATTGTCATTGTCACGGTCTAGACAACCTTTCACAACGTTTTCATGACATGTTATCTTCTCGCAGGTTGAAACATTCTAAAGATGGGGTTAGTGCGCTTGTATCAACATGGTATCAACATCGTACCAACATGGTCAACCAGTGGAACGATCAGTTGAACAACCAGTTAAACGCTTGAATAAACATATTCTATGCCGAGAGTTCCGGTTTTCATTTGCTGAAAACCTCTGGCCGAAATCACCTCGGCGCTCTGATCGGTGCTGGCAGATCTTTATTCTGATCCTTCTGTGCCTAGTCCTTTGCCACTTTCTGAACGTGTACCTTGGGATACCTTGGGTCTGTTGGGTTGACCTGTGATGTTTCTCCCATGGGAAATCTGAGACCCCAACTGGTCAAACCCTTGCAGCAAATGACGGATTAGGGCCTCAACTCGCGTCCAAAAACCACACAGAAATAGGACAAAGATGGACATGTCGGACATGGCTCAGCGGGTGTACCCTCTGGTAATTTAACATAGCTATTGAAAAGTGTATCACTATGTTATACTCCTGGGTAGCCTGAGCCATGGGGCGACTGGCATGGTGCGGCCTCCTGCTTCTGCACGTGGGCGCCAGCTTCGGGGTCCTCGCTGCTTTGGGGGGGGCGGGGCCAGGGTCCCCGCCCTCCCCTTTAACAGTGAGGTCGAGACCGCTTGGCGGCCCCCCCGCCCACATTGGTCGGGGCAACTGCAGGCCATTGGCCGCCGGCAGCGACGCCACTTGACCAGATGCCTGAACCGGGCTTGGAGCCAGAAGCAAGGCCCTTCCTTGCGGCTGCAGGGCGGCCGGCATTGGTCTGGTTGGCCGTTGCGTGGCCAGCGCGTGGGGGAGGCACAACACCCAGGCCCACAGGCCATGCTGGTGGATGCCGGGGCCATGGAGCGTGAGCGGTCTCCACCACGCGGCGGCGAGGAAGCACGCGTCTTCTGCCCTGTGGATGGATGCCCTGCTTCCAACCCCCGCACCGCTCGTGGATGGGGGTCCCATGCAGCCATGCGGCCCCGCTTGGACGACCATGCCGCTGGAACCTTGCAGGGGGCGATCCCCGCGGCTTATTGTGCCGCCCACAGCTTGGACCACTGTCGGGTATGTGGCCTTCTGGTTGCCGCTCGATTTAATGGGGCCCACCCTCGGTGCCGGCCTGCAGCCCGGGACTCTGCAGCACCTGCTGCGGCGGCAGCAGCTGCTGGCAACGGTGGTGGCCCTGATATGGCCGCCCTTTTTCTGGCAGACATTCCGGTACTTCGGCACGTGCCCAAAGTCGCTCGCGCGTCGTGGGTCCAATGCCTTGCCCGAGCTCTGGCCGCAGTAGCGCACCACAACTCGGCAGAAGCCTGGTGGGACCTGCTCATGCTCCCGAAAGCCGTGCTTCGACCTGCACCACGTGGCGGGGCCCTACGGCGACAGCAGGCAGGGCAATTCACTCTTCGGCGGTGTGGGCGGGGGCTGGGCGGTGAGCGTGAAGAGCTCTTGGAGGCCCATGCCCGCCCACGCGGCCGGCGTCCAGCCCGTCGAGCTCCCGAAGACTCAGAGGATCCAGTGGTGCGGGCCCAGCAAAGCCGCTGCTGCGCTTTGGCAGGCGAAGGGGAACTGTCCCGTGCCTGTGCAGCCGTTGTGGCGCCACCTTTACTGAACCACAATGCCGACACTGTGACCAAGCTGCGAAGCAAGCACCCCCAGGCTGCCCCGGCACGGCCTGCTTTGGTGCCTTTAGGGCCGCCAAGCACCGCCGACGTCCCGGACATCACTGCCGAGCAGATCCGACGAGCCATTCAGGGCTGGAGCCGCTCCAGCGCAGCGGGTCCCACTGGCTTGCGAGGGGACCACCTCAAAGAAGCTCTGGCCACTGCCCATGCTGATGAGGTGCTAGTTCACCTGACCGGTGTCGTGCAGCTTCTGGTGCGGGGGGACGCGCCAGCAGACTTGGCCCAGCACCTGGCTGGGGCCACTCTGCACGCCCTCCCCAAAGGGCAGGATGATGTGAGGCCCATCGCCGTGGGTGAAACATTGCGGCGGCTGGCATCCAAGTGTTTATGCCAGGCAATGAGGGACTCTGCTCAGGACCTGCTCACCCCCCTCCAAGTTGGGGTTGCAGTGCCCTTGGGCGGAGAGGCCGCCGTGCACACGGCCAGGCAGTGGATGTACCGTCGAGGAGGACATGCCACCGACGTCTTCTTGAAGGTGGATTTCCACAACGCGTTCAACACAGTTGACCGGGCGGCCCTCCTTCGACAAGTTCGGCTGCACTTGCCTGGGCTGGCGCCCTGGGCGGAATGGTGCTACAGACGCCACAGTCGCCTCCTGTTTCACGGGGATGTTTTCACTTCTGAAGCAGGGGTGCAGCAAGGGGACCCTCTGGGTCCTTTGCTTTTCGCCTTGGCGCTGCAGCCGGCCATGCAAGCAGCAAAGGCAGGGCCGTTGAACCAATCGCCCCACCTCATTTTTGCATATTTGGACGATGTCTGCTTAGCAGGTGACTACAGGGCAGTAGCAGCCAGCTTTGCCCGTCTGGCGGCAGCCGCCCGCCAGGTTGGGCTCCACATCAACCTCGCCAAGAGTGAACTGATCCCATGTGGTGGGCCTGACTCGGCCATCGATCGAGGAGTCTTCCCGCCTGGTATTGCGATCAACCCCACCACCTGCTTCACGTTGCTGGGGGCGCCAATTGGTGGTGTGGCTTTTTGCGAACAGCAGACTGTGGCTCAGCGCGTCGACAAGGCCCGCCCGCTCCTGGATGCCATCGCGGAGTTGCCGGAGCCCCAAACCGGGCTCTTGCTGCTGCGCCATTGCGCGTCCTTTTGCAAAGTGGTGCATGCCACCCGGGTTACCCCGTCAACTTGCCTGGGCTCTGCCATGGAGACCTTTGACACTGCTGTGAGACATTGCTTGGAAGCTGTGTGCACTGGGCCATTGTCTGCAGAGGCTTGGCTTCAAGCCTCCTTGGCAACCACTGCAGGGGGGCTTGGGCTGCGCCACGCCTGCATCCATGCTCCGGCGGGATATGCTTCCAGTGTCCTTGCCACCCAGCCGCTTTGCCAGCAGTTAGATCCCGATTACCTTCCAAGCAGTGCAGAAGGAGCAATCCAGGCCGTGAACCGGCTGCTTCCTGCGGGCGATCAGATCCCTGTCCCGGCGCCGCCTCCCCTTCGACAACGTCAGTTGTCCCAGGCTCTGGACAAGGTTCTGATTTCTCGTTTAACCGCAGCTGGCCCTGGTCGGGAGGCCTTCCGAGCACATTTCCAGCTGCTGCAGCAGCCCGGTGCTGGGGCGTGGTTGCATGCGCCGCCGTCGCCTGCCCTTGGATTGCATGTGGCTGGGCCGCTCTTCAAGATTATGGTCCGCTTGCGGCTGCGGCTCCAGGTGGCTTTGGGTGACGCCCCCTGCCCTATGTGCGACGGAGTGGCGGACAGCTACGGCGACCATGCCAGGGTTTGCCCGTGTGGTGGCGACCGCATAAAGCGCCACCATAGCCTGCGGACGCTGGTCGCTGCCCGATCGCAGGCGGCTGGGTTCCACACCGAAGTCGAAAAACCTGGTCTTCTCCCACCCCGCCCAGAAGACGGAGGTGCTCCTGAAGATGGTGGTCGTGCTGGCCCGGGGAGGCGCCCCGCGGATGTGTGGATTGGCAATTGGGGGCTGCTTGGACCTGCTGCCTTGGACCTCGCCGTGACCTCAGGCATGCGGCTGGGGTCCCTGGCCCAAACAGCCGCCAACGGCCAACATGCTGTGGCTGAGTACGAAGTCAAAAAGTGCTCACACCAGAACACACTGGCCAGCTGCGGGGCAGAAGGCTTGCAGCTCTTGCCTATTGTCGCTGAAGCTTGTGGCGGGGGCTGGGGCCCTATTGCCTTGCAAACCTTCAAAGCCATTGCCACGGCTGTGGCGGCTCGGAGCAATGAGCCTGCCGGCGTCGAGTACAACCGCTTGCTTCAGTGCCTTTCCGTGGCTTTGCAGAGGGAGAACGCCAGGGCTGTCCTCCGAAGAGTGCCTGGCTAGCGCGCTCCTGGTGCATCTTCATGCCGGTCGACCTCCCTATGGCTACAGGCAACTCAGTTCCCTACGTTCCTGAGCGTGGCTTTTGTTGCGGCACCACTCTTTGACCCCACGGATTTTCCTTTCCCTTTTGAATCTGCTTCACGGCTTCTGCGGCTGCATTTGCCCGACTGAATTCGCTGGGTACCTGACCCCAGCTGTTGGTCGCAATGCAATGTAGCCTCATGGGGTATTTGGTGCTTGTGTGGGACACGCTGCCTTGCTTGAAGCATGAGCACGCCGTCTGGTCTTTTTGAATTTCATACAGCCATGTTATACTATGTTCCTTTTTTGTGACCGTCCGAAGTGTGTAAAGTCCTATGGCTTTGGATCGGTCAATCTTTGATATCCAGCCAGTGGCATCCATCAACTTGTTTCAAAAAATGGCCATTTATAATGAGTTTTCCCATTAAAAATGGTGATTTTCCATAGTTATGTTAAATTACCAGAGGGTACTTCCAGGTACTCCAAGATTCTTCAGATGTTCAGCCTTGACAATCTCGATTTCGATATTGCTGAGTCGGGAGCGACAAATTCTCCCTGCTTGGCAAGGGGGAGGACTTGGCCATCCCGGGTTCAGTCTTAAGGGAATGAAATATGCTCAATCCTTGAATGGGATATAATTATATGGATATATATGGTATATAATCCCCATTGTATCCCCTTTATATCGCAATCATGATATCATAAACGGTATATCCCCATAGAAATCCCATGAGCTTGATTATCGACGACACGTTGTCCAGGATCCACCATTGACCCAGATGTAATCCTAGCCAGCCAATGTAAAGTCCCCATGTATCTCTTAAGAGTTCTTAGTCGGAACATCATCTACACATGATAGTCAATTGCCATGCTTGTAAATCCTGATTTTTGTTAGATGCCAAAATTACCCTTCACCACCACTTTTTTTTCCAGAAATCGTGATTAGACGGGTTTCTCCAAGATGTGTTTGCCTGAAAATTGTGAGGGACACATCCCAACATCAGCCAACATTCCATGGTTCATCATCGTTTTTCCACATAAAAACGACCATTTTTGGAGCTGAAGCAGCTAGGTCTGCACCGAGCAATGAGACGCTTTCAGAAGGCCGGCGCCTGGTAGTGCGGCAGCCAAGCCCTTTTGAGGTGGTTTTGGGGCCGTTTCCAGAGATTGATCAAGGGATATTATTCAACATATAACATTGCTATATAATGTAATTGCTGGATGATTGTTGGATGATATCATGTAACTATACAACTATTTTCATGAAGGGATATTATAATATGTATAATGGATTGTTACCTTCTTAAGTAAGTGTATACTATAGATTGTGTTATTGAAAAACTGGCAGTATGAATCCTTTCCCCTAACAGGCCCTAACATTCAACACCCCCCCATTTTTTACCATGGTTTCTTGGTGGTGTTTGATCTCAGGGGAAAGGATTGATAATTCTTGGATGATTACCTTCTTAAACAACACCAATTATCAATCATATACATACAATAGTACAACAATAGTACTACAATAGTACAATAGTACAATAATTATCAATAACATTTATAGTACACATACAACATATCGTTCACAGATTAGATATCTATATCCGTGTGCCTGATAATGTGATAGTAACAATTGCAATGTGGAGAATGGTATTGATAGCAGCACTATATACAAGAGTGAGATACTTGATGCACGGTGCCCCACTGCCATGTCCAAGTAGCTATGCCATGTCCATCCAGTGATACCTGTCGTTTTTGTTCAGTAGCAACTGCTCGATGATTCTTCTTGAGAGGAAAATCCAATTAATTATACAATCCCTATGAAATCCCCTATTGAATCCCTATACAAATCCCATAAAAATCCCATTATATGATCCATTTTAATCCAGATTGACCCGGTTTTGCCACACTTGATGTGCTACTGTGTCACCCTTGGCCGCACTGAGGAGCTAGCACGGCGGCGAAGGTCGGAGGACTGTGGTCTGGTTCAGTCTGTTCCCGTTCCGCTGTATTGCCGCAAGGCAGCACTTTTGTGAGAATTAGGGTTTCCAGAAGTGGGGATACCCCAATAGCCTGAGGGTTTATAATAGAAAATCCCATTAAAATGGATGATTTACGGGTACCCCCATTTCAGGAAATGCCCAAATAGCCTGAGGCCAAGGTTTTGAACGAACCCATGTAAGATGTGAGCTGCAGCTAATGAGGCGACCTCCACACAGAAATCTCTTTTCGATACGCTCATCACTACCCCATGGCTGGCGTTGTCTTCCATGGCACTTTGAGTTCCAAAAGGACCGGACTTTACAACTTGAGCTGAACGATAGGTGCATCAGGGTTGTGGCTCAGGAATGACATGGATATTCCCAGAAATAGTTGGTGTTCAGGAAAGATCTTGTACTGTCCAGAAGTCTGAATTTGATCAAGATCTCAAACTGGGATGCATTCAGATGATGTGTATACTGTATATATCCTGACATCCCGGATGGCTCTGTTGTCTGTTGCTACTGTTATCACCTGATATTGCTTTGGGTGAATAATCTCCTACCCAGGTAGGACTCGAACACCAACATGTTGGTTGGTTGAATCGACTAGCCAAGTTCAAAGCCGACAGTATTCATGAAATGAGAGGCCCCTCAGAGTTTGTTTTTTCTTTACTGGTACCTTATGGCTTCGAATCTGAACCTGCTCACATGCTGATGACATGCAGATGCTCAAGTCTTGTGCCGATGACATGCAGACATCTGAAGGGTTGGCGTGAACATTGGCAACCTTTGCCGCAACTTTTTTGTCAGCAGCTTCATACATGCTAAAGACGAATTGGATTTATGCACCATCCCTTCATCTTGGTCCGGAACATCAGAATGATATTAATGACATCAACTGATGGTATCACTTCCCCATTAGTACCCAGCTTTTTATTATCACAATTATTACCAGGTATTACCATTCATATTCATTCATTCATTCTTAACATTACCCCATCAACCCCCAAACATGAAAAAAACGCTGGCCAAAACGATATTTTTTGCATCGCCAGGTACGATGACTCAAGGGCGATCCCATTGCGCATGCAGATTGCCCGGTTGATCGAAGAAGGCACTTTGCCTCAGGACCTGGGTTGATGTCAACCGGTGGGTTGAAAATATGGGAATATCATAAATCCATCGGTGAATCATCCTTTTCCCTAGTTTCCCTATTTTCCATGACTGGGGGTATACACCATTTTCAGACAAACCGATGTTGCACCACCGTTCCTGGTTTTTTTCTGCGAATTTGAAGAAGTCCAGAAGTCTCGATGTTTTTGATGTTTTTTTGGTTGACAGAACAATGGTTTGTATTTTGGAAATGTCCTGCTTCACGGATGACCCCCAGTCGAATGTCGCAGGACTGGAATGCGAGCAGTCCAAACTGAAGCTGGAGACCCCGCAGTGCCGTAAAGATGATCAGTGTCGCACCAGTGTTACGATGTTCACAGAGGATGGAGATCAACTTGATGTTGACATGTCGAGTTCATGTCTTTCTATTCCTGGTTCGAAGTTCTTCTGACCCATGGGGGGAATAGAAAACAGCAGATCATCAGCAGATCATGACTCCTCCGTTGATAAGAATCTGAGACCGACAACATCCCATGGGCATAGATTTAGATGGTTGGTGAGGTGTGTGAAATGACCATCGGACTAAGGTCTTCTCAGGGACGGTGGCATGTGATGATTCGAATGTGCACGGTAGCATGCTGGAAACCAGAAAGATGGGTGGCACTTCAGCATTGAGCTTATGCCCTTCTGCTAGCTAATATATAGCCAATGTGTATAGCTAATATATATATACCGGATTAATAACCCCCCCCTAGAAGGTAGGGGGGTACCTTCTGGCGAGTTTTCTTGACTACCCCTAAATAAACGGCCCTGAACCATAAAATTCTGAACCATAAAACTTTGGATATGGCTTACGTCAATTAGATCTTAATAGAATTCCATTGGATTTGTTAAAATTTCATGGATCAGAGAGGTGGTTGATTAATCAGGGGCAAACCGTGGTTATTATTAATGGTGGACATGGGCTCATGGGGGGTACCCTTTGGGAGCTATCCAAACTGATGATTTTTATAAAGATTTTAATTAGAAATCTAGAAATCGATCATTTGGGGAATAGTTATTTTTTGAAATTTTCAATGATCAACTTAAACCTGAAGTATAACAATGATGATTAAAAAAAAATAAAAAACAATTGGAAATAAATAGAATTGGAAATAAAAAATGTTGGATAAAAAATGGATTTCAGCACTGGTGGTTTTTTAATCGGGTGGGTTTATTAATCTGGGGGGACCACCTGTTTTTAAATTACATTTTTTTTGGGGGGCAGTGGTGGTTGATTAATCCTGGGGGTATTATTAATCCTCACTTGACATTAACTATGATGGAGGTACACCTTCAGCACCGTATCATTCCTCTTTCGCAGGCTAATTTAACTTTTGCCCATCAGCTTGGTTCACAGCTCACTGAACATGTGTCTGGCAACCTGGTGGTCAAGTCATGGTCGTTGAAACATGTTGAAAGGCACTGTATGTTTTTTTGCCCACACATGAATAGCGCATTTTTGGCTGGCGCCAGCCTATTGCGGAAAAACAAAACCACGGGGCAAAATTGCCTGGAAAATGGTTGAGCAGATTGTATAGATTGTATAGACAAAAATGTCTTGCTGGCTGCAGCAGCAGTTTTCAATGTCGGCGCACGGAAATTCGAACATCCCGATGCCACATTGGATGTTGTTCAACTTGAGCACTTTGGATGCCACCGCCATTGTACATCCGCCTTGTCCGTTCTACTTCTGGCTGAGACCCACTTTGGGTCAGGATTGGTACTGGTTTCAATATAACATAGCTTATCCAATGTCAAGTCATGCATATACATGCTTGTCAAGTGACAAATACATCATATAATTATTCTATTTTACTTATTTGCTATCTCAACAAGTCAACAAGTTGAGCTGTCACATATTTGTCCTACTACCATCGCTGAAGATCAGCCCAGACAAAAAGCATCAGGGCACATTGTTATGACATATTAAGACTATATTAAGACATATTAAGACATATTAAGACTGAAATTGCCAAACACTTCAATGCTGCCAGCTATTTCATGGTATTTCACATGATTCAACACTGGTCATTCACAGCCTTTCCGAAATGGAGGATGTCACCTCAGAGGCCGGCTGCATGGGGTTTCACCCTCCGCGATTTTTATGACTTCGGTAGCCCAGGCAGTGCGCAGACTGAACGACACAGATCAGTGCCTTGGTGGATTTTGAAGGTGAACCACGGGAGAGTGAGAAAATCCACCACCAGTTCGATATGTTCGATTGAGCAGCTTGATGAAGTTTCATCTGATCGGACTGTCTAGTTGCTAACAGACCTTGTCATTGTGAGCAGTGAAAGGTGAGGGTTACACTTGAGAACCTTTAAACACTGTTTCTTGTGGCTTTTGGCTTCTCATTGGAACGTAGCAGCAACCTTTGGACTTTCCATCCCCACCGGAGTTGCTGTAACTTTGCATCCGGATGCCCTAGATATGAGGCTCAAGATGTCAAGCTAGCTTAGCTAGGTCTGGGTCAAAGCCCTTTTGTCCTGATTTTCACACCAAAAAAATCTAGTGATATGTTTAACCACGAAGCGGCTTCTCTAAGTGTAGACCCATCCCAATCTCAACTCGTGCGTTTGAAAGAATGCTTCGTTGCCGAGCGGACGCAGTGAAACGCTGCTACCGCCAGAGCTTTCTACGGGGACCCCACGGTCACCTCAGCCATCTTGGATGGATCAGTTGCTACCAGTGGGACGATAGCTTTGCTGTCCTTATTTTGACGCAATAGCCCGGAGGATAGCTTGTCGAAAAAAAAAAACGATATATCCGACAACAGACAAGCTATCCTCACAACTAGCTATCAATATATTGAAAGACAACTGACCTTGGTCCTTCCGCAGAGAAGGCAGAGATGTTTACCCCATGTCAAGCTGTTGGATGCACATCCCAGGAATTTGTTCGCAATCGGGACTTATGAACCAGGTCTTTTTACCAGTTGCCCACTAATTCCCAATCTATATGACAATATAATGACAATATTTGACAATAATCTCGGGATTCACATTTCCTCTGGGGTAAGGTATGATACCTACAGACCTGAAACAGGGTCTCTACATTTGTAGAGTTGATCTCCTGATTTGTAGTTTAAAAAAGATTAGGAACCCACACCCATGTGTTTCGTAGTGATTCCATTTTGCATTTTTGGCATTTTTTTACCTTTATGATATAAATTTCCATAGGGGTTTTGTAGGATAGGTACCCCGGTGGACTATGATATTTGTAGGATTGGTGGGCCGGGGATCCCTATGATTCTCAACTCGAACAGGAAGACCCAAAAATTTTTCATAGTTTTTTGTAGGATAGCTACCACCCCTTGAAACGTCGAAACTCAACCACCTACGAAAAACATTTTTTGCTGTATGTAGACCCTAAATTCCAACCCCAATACATACTATTCTTAGATATTTCCCTGAGAGGGGCAGCTGTTTTTTTTCGCATGCCCATTAATTAGTCCCTGTGCTTGCTGAGGTTTGTAATACTCCTGAATGTGTGTGCAGCTGCTGGGAACTTACATCCTGATATGTTTGCACTGTCTCTTGAAATATGGATGTGGATGAACCCTGGCATTGCTGACAGTTGACAAATGTTGACAATATTGATGAAGTTCTCCAATGCCAATAAAGAGAATCTTCAAGACACAGATTAACCTGGAGACGTTGCAGTTTGATCGTAACGTCGTACCCCTTCCTCGTTGTCTGACCTCAAGTGATTTCAGTTTGGCTTCGGTTTCCAGGATCTGAGGTATGTATTGAAGGTGTGATATTTTGGAGGGTCCCTCTTACCGTGGAGACACACGCTGCGCCCAAGATTTTCGGCAGCTTGATCTACTGCTTGCTGACCATGCGTCAGCGCCAGAGCAACGAGCAACGCAGCTCGTGCGGGGCCTCTGACAAAGCGGGATTACGAATTAGATTTATGGGCAACATGGTCAATTACAGTTTTATGATATTGATATTATCTACACATGACATGAATGGACGTAAAATTTACAATATGTATTAATAATTAGATAATATCAATATCATAAAACTGTAATACACTATGTTGATATTATAAATTTACAATATCAATAAATTTTATGATATTGATATTATCATATATTATCTACACATGACACGAATTGACGTAAAAAAAAATACAATACTACTTATACTCCTCTTTTTCACTTCTGTGTACTTCAATCCAAATTCCGTGGACATGCTGACTGGAGGTCAGTCGAGTACAGAGGACACTGTTTCTACGCTTGGAAGGGATCCAACAAAGGTAATAAACAACCTGCCACTGTACGGCGGAATTCTCACATCCTTGATAGTCTCTCCTTACAAGGCTTGAATCCATCATGTTGCCAATTTTCAGCGCATCATCATCATCATCAACAACAACAACAACAATAACAGAGACATCGACAACAATAAGCCTTGATGATGGCATACCTGTCAACATTTTAACATATATTCTGATTTATTATAGATATAACATGATAACATGATATTACTATAACTCCACCTTCCACTGGGTTTCCTTCTGAGGTACTTTGCCGGGCCCTTCGTCTCCTTGGCCGAGGCGTCACAGTCCTGGAAGGCCCGTTGGGGCGGCCTCTGTAGAAGCTTAGCAGAGGCATATTTTGAGTCGGTTTAATGGATCACCCATAATAACACCCATTAATGTGGTTAAATCCCACTAGATCACCCCCAATATCACTATATATATATATATATCACTATAAATGGGTAGAAACCATCCCCAAGTAGTACTGTTGGGTTGACCACATTACTTTATTTGGGATTGGTTGAATCTGTTTAGGCGTAACATCTGCTGCTATCCACCTTGTCTCAGTGCGAATCAATCTTGCAATGAGTTGCATCAAAAACGGTGGTTGTGTGTGTTGTACAATAATTAATGTGTTTATTCCGTTGTTGTATTTGCATAGTTCGGGGTTCTCTTATCAGAAGATTGTAAGTATTAGGATAGCTGGCCTATTTTGGGACAGCAACTTCCTTCGCAACACTGAACAGCTCTTGCACTTTAAGGCAGAGCCTAAACCCCACTGCCGCGTGCGGCAAGGTCTACAGACAATGGACCAACAAAACCGAACGGGACATGCATGTCTGGGAGCCTGGGTGGCCGTCGTGCCATCGTTTCAAGCTGTGGAAAAAAGCCATAAAAAAGCCAGCTTCCCTTCCAACTCCGAAGCAACGACCAAGGTCTGCAACTTCTGTGGTTTCGCCATCAAGGCGCAATGGGCTGCGGTTTCTTGAAATGTTAGGATGTACCATGTGGAAAAATAATGAACAAAACATCGTCAATTAAACAGTTTCATAGAGGTTTTTTTTAAAGACAGAACGTGGGATGGTGTCGGTTTACTTGTACATGGCAGGTTTTTTGAAAGCGATCGAGGTATCAATTGGCCACTCCGTGATTCACTTCTAGCGCTTTGGCTGCAGGCCTCTCCTAGCGAGTTTTCCTCGCGACCTCAGGATGCGGAACAAAGCCTGTTTGTCCAGCAGGGTGATTAGAAAGCAGGGACAGGACTTTGTGAAAAGTGCGAGACACCGAATTTCCCAAATTCATGAGGTGAACTTAAATGAACAAATGGAATCTGGGGAGTTTCCAGGATGCTGGGGTCTTGATTTCTATTATTTTGATCATTTTTGATCCATGTCAGTTTGTCCATATTGATGCCCTGGTTTCAAGGAGCTCTACCAAGAGGAACCGCAGGAAGATCAGCCGTGGGAGACAGGTTCATCCAAGCATTGCCTAAAGGATGAAAACATATTAAAGATGCAGGGTTTCTCAATGATTTTTCCTGATATTAACTGTGATTATGCCATTTTTGTCGCACTAGGCTACTGTTCAAACCCTCGAAGGTTTGTCAGATGCGGACAATTATAAGTAATTGTTGACCAGAGATGACCAGAGATGACCAGAGGCTGTATGGAGACTCTGCACGTGAAACAACCTGCTATCAGCATGGCTGAGTATTGCACCCTAGGCATCCCTAAACCCGTGTTGTATTGTCGCGAAGAAATTTCGACAGCCACAAATAACTGGACAAAGGGCATCTTTTTTCGTCGTAATCTTTCCCGAGATGGATCTGTGCGAGTTAGACTGGACAAGATTGGAATCAAATCGTCGCAAAAATGGTGCCCAATTGACAATCTTGGACTTTAAAGTGGATCAACCAGTTTAGAGAATAAATTGACGAATTTTCCGATTGCTTTTTTTTTGAATTGAAATATATTGAATTCTAATGGTACAAAGACTTCGAGACATCTGCGAAGGATCCCAAGGTGAATCCCAGCAAGGAAGGCTCGGGGTTGAATTTTGGTGGCAGGAGATCTCAGCACCGAGGATTTTAGTTCTCACCTTAGGTAGCCAACACATGACAAGTGAGTCACGTGACCCATCTTTCAGGACTTCAAGAGTCTTCTCTGTGTCTGGCATTTTTCCATGCGAGACTTGAGGCTGGGCCATTAGGCCAGTTGCTCCACAGTCTTTGGAGCCAGAGACCATTAGAGACTTGATGTATGAAGGACAACCCCGTAGGCATGTTGGCTCAGAGAGTGCGAACTCGCCATCATGCCAGCCACTTGTTATGAATGAATCACCACAAGGGAAGGGCTTGGCTAGCGTGTAGAGTCATCAAGCTGCTCCTCCAAAAAATTGGTGATCTTTGATGACCCTTGGCATGGTATGGTGCTTGTTTTTGTTGCCAGCTGAGGCAGTATTTCCCAGAGCAGATGAGGTGAAGGCTCGCCGTCGATGGACTTTTGAATGCTTGTTGAAGCCGGATCCCTGTGGAAACGTAACAAGCATCACAAGCATATTGAGGGGTGATTTGGAGGAACAAATCCAGGAACAAGATAGGACAACTATTAATGTTTATGAAAGATGGGCTAGGGACCCAGTGAGTGTTAGTCAGTTGTGAGTTGTTTTCCATGACACATCATGACACTATCTTCTGTCCTGGGCCAGGTGAAACCTCTTGCCTGCAATGACAAGTGGTGCATTCTCGTTTTTGCGTTGGTCATCACTGGTACCTTCGCTGAGATTGGTGCCTATGTGAGGCCTTCAGTCTGAGAAATTTTGTGTCAGACTCTCCAGTTCTTGGGCAATCTGAGATTGGTAAAAAGGCTCTAGTGACTCTAGTGCCCACTTTTACTGTACAAGCCTCCTCACGCTGTCCCACATTGTCTAGATAGCTGTGATCGGATCAAGGTATGGCGGGACTCACTTGGTGGGCAACCGCGAAAGAAGGTGCCAACATTGAACGATTGATTCATCCAGCCACTCAACTTCAGACAAGACTGGGCGGCTCATGTTCGGGCCTATAACGCCTATGCAACGGACTTTCAAGTATGTGTGTGCGCATCATCGAAGATCATCTTTGTGTTTCTACATTTCTACGCATTCCTTAACACCAGAGATGCCTTTCCAGTTCAACGTATAGCCATTGTGGCATCATGTGGCATCTTGATGGGGCAATCCTGACCCTGATCAAGACAGATTGGTGATGCATTCACGGATATACCTTGATGCCTGGGGCATCTGCTCAATGTCTGAGGTAGATTATTCTGGACAGGTTTGTGGCTATAGCCCAGAGGTCAAGGACAGCGCGGGTCAAGGGAAAGCATCAAAGGGCCCAAAGGGCAAAGTTCGTCAGATGAGGCTAGCCCGGACTCCTAAACCATCCACAGTGTAAACCATCATAAACCATCCACAGTGGGTCTTAGTGAGTGACTGGTAAAAGATGCCAAGGGGACTGAAAGCAGCCAAGCTCATACCAAGCTTATGCCAAGCTTTCCGTAAGTCCACGTGCCTTTGGATGCCTTTGGCCTTCAGTGCTTAAGGAAGCTGTTTGAAGGCGACAGATATTGTCAAGCTTTGCGTCATCGCACTGGGATGGAAAATGAATAAAAAGGATGGAAAGCTGGTTCCCAAGACAAAATCCTAATTAGTGCAACTCCAGAGTGCTGCTTCCTATGTTTCGCGTGGCGGTTTTGTTGGAAAGGATTCACACGGGAAAATCAGTGTGTTCGTTGCCCATCGTTGCCCTACAGTACATCATGGGTGATTGTGCTATAGCTGCTAGGACAAACCTTTCCTCTACGTTTGTGGCAAGGCCAATGCAGGATTTGAGGCGACGCATGTCGACGCGAGCCGGGCAGAGTGTGCAGTGAGTACTTTGATGGAAGCCTTTTGCCTTTCGGTTTTCAAGTCTCAGAATCATCTTGAAATGGTCGCCATAAACATCCACAAACATCATAAGAATAATGTATGTATAGTAAGTATAATTAATATGATTATATATACAATTAAAATACATATATGCATATGTAATATATAGATGTATGATATCATGAACATATAGTTCCACCTTTTCGGGTAGGTGATGTTATCGTGAAATGGTTTGGCGCAGCTAGTAAAAAAAGTGCTGATAGCAGAGCTTCATATTCATTTTTATTTGCTGCTTGAACATAGCTTGGAAATGCTGGGAATGGATGTTTCTTTTTGCATCGGATGCCATGGTTTTCTGTACCTTCTGATCATGGTTTTTTGTGGCTGCTGCATCGGATTATCCCATCATATCCCACTGAGTTTTGTCTTTTTTTTGCCGACAGCACCGTGTAGCACCGCACGGCGCAGGGTAATTACCCCACACAGTTGGACTTCCAATCAAGAACCTGCGTTTCCGAGTGCCCAAAACTGGGCGGTGAAGTGGATTCTTGTCGACACATGGACCACATGGACCTGCAGGGTAGCAATGACTTCCTGCTGTCCTTGTTGGGTGATGTCTTATGATACATTCAACGATACTCAAGGCATCCCTTTTGGCTATAGTAGAACTTCAGGGCTTAGCTACAAAAACAACCTCCTGTTTCATTTTGTTTCAGTGGCTTAGTAAAGATTTGAATATATATATATATATATACACACCTTTGGAGCACTTTCTTGTGTCACCAGCCAGCAGCCAGCAGTAGTCAGACATCAACCGTTCCAATACAGTGGATATGTGCCTGCAGTTCGGATTCAAGTGAATACAGCAGTGAAACCATGAGGACAAAGGAAGAAGGGCGCTGATATGATTGATATGGTTGATACACGTGTTGGCAATCTTGCAAGGGGATGCCGTTCAGTGCATTTCCTTGCGCCACTTTCGTTCTTAGGCCTGCATTGGAAAGCCTCTGGTGACGCCTTATGCGGTGGATTCACAAGATCACAACGGCATCAATGCACCTGGGCCACACCAGCCTGGCCACCTTGAAGTGAGAAACATCAACATGGAAGCTATACATTTATGATCATTTATGGTCATTTATGTGGCATAGGGATCATGAATTTCATCATGGGATCCAAAAACCAAAGAAATCGAGGAGCATCCCGCTATCCCGGCATCCCCTCCAAGGTACATGGGGTACAGGTGCTTAAGACTGTGACCTGGCGTGTCTCACAGGCGCTGATGGAACCAGTGATTCAGGAGTCCTTTCCCGCCAAATAAAGACATCATTTTGGAGTATCTGTCTATATATATATATACATATATATACACATACTACAATATACAGTATATTAATACAGATTAAAAAACATCACTTTTTGATATACTTGTTGATGGTTCAATAGTGGCTTACCCCCTCAAACAATATGTTTTTTCTTGGAAATTGAAGGAACCCTGTGATTTGTTTTCCAGCCAGGCCGTCACATATCAGAAAGCATATCCCACTGAACCGTTCCGGCACATGATGTGTGCTCCAGGGTCACTTGGCTTCGTGAAATCCATGCAACGTTGTGGGACGAAGGTTGAGAAAGATGGTGAGTATACGTTCATGGAGTTCTGATATATGCAGGAGCCCAGAATATATATATATATTATAAAGATAGAACATATCACAATAATATAATAATATTATATATATATACACATTCTATTACATCATGATAAAATATATGTTTTTGGTTCTGCTCAGTGCTTTAAATAAAATTTTACTCCTGCGGTTAAAAGGAATGTGTTGCATTGCTTGTGGCACTGGTGCTAGCAAAGAATGCATTGGAAATGGTTGCCCAGGTCAGACGACTCCATGAAATTCTTTCAATCACAAATGACAATTAGTTTCAGCCAGAATCAAATGACCATTAGTTTCACACTGTGAAACACACCCCGCATTGACTTCCACAATTTCCCCAACCTGCTATGAAATCTGCGCTCGTGAAGATGAAGCGAGGTGGGAAGCACCCAACGATTTACGCGATCAGATCATCTTCGGTGCAGCAAGTCCTCTATCGAAAAGCGGAGAGGCTTGGGACCGCATTGCCAAACGGCCTTGGACATGTTTGAATTGGATGTCGTGTGCAAATCTTCGTCAACCCAGCCGCTGAGGCATTTGGCAGTCTGTTAACTGCATGGCCAGTACTTCTCGCAGTCTTCTTTATTGCACCTAAGTTGGCAAATATAGCTTCCCATCACAGAAGTGTTCAAACTTCTAATTTGTTGGTTTCTTCAGGAGTACCACGGACACCTGTGACATCCTGTGACGCACAAGACATGTGGACACACTCTTCAGAAGGATGGTCTATCAAGTCGCGTGAGCTTTCTGACAAACACGAGATTGGATTCAAAGCTGGGTAAGTTCTCAAAATCTGAGACCCTACCAAATGCAAATTGCTAGCACCTTCTGGATTCTGGATCATCAACTTGGACAAAGCATGTATATACCGAAACACCCAGGTCTGATGTGAATTGATCTATATTTGATAGCTGAGGCGACGGTACTGTCGCTCTTATTCTTGCTTTTGATGACCCACTATGCGGGTCCTGTGCTGTTCATTGCCATTGTTTTGGCGGATATCCTGATCTTCCTGCTGGGCCTCTTCTTTGCCATGGGCATCTTCTTCGATCCCTTCAACACGGTGGGCTGTTCTTTCGGGGTGAAGAAACTGCTCCACTGCTCCACTTCAACATACTTCAACGGAGACTTTTCTGTTGAGAAACACCAAAAAAGCCTGTGACATGAAGGTGATTTGAAGTCGGTTCTGTAGAGGGACATGGATGGATGTTGTAGGTCGATTTCTCTGGTGACTTAATGATTTTTGACTTGAGAGTTTTGGGAGCTCCCATCAAAATAAGACAGCAAGACGAAGTGAGGAGACGGCTGATTTTTGTGAGAGTGACAGTGACATTACACCTACACTGGTGTTGTTTTGCAATTTGATGCTTGCCACAACTGCTCTTTGTGCAGAAACGTGGATTGCTACAGAAACCTGGATTGCTAACGCAATACATGCTTCAATTTGGATGCCCAAAGTAGGCAAAGTTAAGACCACTCCAGACCCCTGCTCAATCTGCTCAGCACGTCAGGGCGGATGGTATCAGAGTGTAAATCCTATTGAAAGGACGCGACGCAGTTCTTGCTTGCGCCGTTTGGGTATGGGATGGGTAGATGGGCTGCACTCCACAAACATGTTCGACTCCTGGTTGCGCAGGACGATCTACGGCGAGTGGGCCAGGGTCCTATCTCTGCTGGTAGGTGTGATCCTGTGTGGTATGGGAGTCCTGCTGTTGCACCTTGGCTCAGGGTCACTGGACAGGGATGATGTTTGTGGTTCCAAAAAGAGACCAAACTGACCATTTTAAAACAAGGCTAAAATAAGGCAAATGGCAAATGGCAGGTATTGATGTATGCTAACATATGCTAATCATCAGATTCCTTGTGGAGAGCGTTCTTGTAGAACTAGTGCTTGATAAAGCAGGCAGCCGATGCAACAGCAACACACATGGTCAGGGAGCCAGTTTTATCCACACTTCGGTCTAGATTCCCTGCTGGAGCCATGTACTTGTGCCCCGGAGTGGCTCCATTGATGTGACTGTTTGTATCTTTCATGGGAGACCTTTCGAGGGAAACCTTACCACAGGCTGCAGCCAGCAGGGTGCAGCCAGCACATGTCTTCGCTTTGATCCGGGTTCCAGATATGACCCGTCCTGTCGAACTTTGAAGCCGAATACATGGCTTTCATGAGTCAACTTTCATCAACTTTCCCAATTGAAAATGGCTATAAAGTGGTCATGATCTTCCCAACACCGCCCAATGGTTCCAAAATTGGGCTGATGACTCTCACCATGCCCAAGGCACGCCTTGTACCACTCTTCAGAGAGGCAAACTGGGGCTGGTGCAGTTCGGTGCAGCTCGCACCGGCAAAATCCACTTGCATACAGTCTATCGAACTGGAATACAAACGTGTTCCATTTGTACTCCAAGTCAGAATTTCCGGGTTACATGTTCATGTGTCATCCATGTGTCATCCATCCATGTCATTCCATGTCCATGGTATTCCATGGTTGGGTCTCACATTTCATCACTGGATGTGTCTTCCACGCAGGATCGATGAACCAGTAGGACTCATCCACGCGTCCATGGAATTCATCTTCGAGCCAAGTGGCAGTTCGGTGAAGTTCCTGATTCTGGTGCCCGCGTCACTTTTTCGATGGTCCACTTGGCAGCCTTCAAAAAACAACTTGGTAGTCGTATGTAGTCTTAGCTTTACCATGTTTGATCCCATGATTATGGTATATTATGATATATTATGATATTATGATATATTATGATATATTACCCATAGGATCCATGTATGGTATATATGCTAACATTTGGGGTATATTGATGGTAAATGTTACCATATATAGCAGCACCATGGATCCTAAGGGCCATGATGGTTGATATCAGCTGGATGCTTTGATTTGCCTGGTTCCCTCATGGGTGATACTAAGCGACAGTGGCAGAGGTGCCATTTCTATCCTCGATCTTCACCGTTGCAATGGTGGGATTTGCCATTCTTTGCTTCATGCTGGTGCTCACTGCCGGACCTGTGGACTCTCGAGGCTGGTGATCAAGACTGCTGTTGGCATATCGACAGTGACGATTTGATGATCATCAGATCTTCTGGGAATTTTTAGTAAATTACCCAAAAAGACAGGTTCCACAACACTTCCTCCATTCAATTGGACATTGTGACATTGTCCAAGGGCAATCACAAGCAGGTATTGTCATCGATGGCCATCACTATCCAAGCATGTACAAGCGGCTCGGCCTGTTTCGGTGCATCACTTGGGGTGGACAAACATATGGCACCAGTCGACTCATGCTGCGCCAAGGGGAATCCAGAAGCCTTGGAATGGCTTTGGTTGGGATATCTCCATGTTCCTCTTTGTTGCTGGCTTCATTTGGCTCGTTGAGCTGATGTGCCTGGGCAGTTGAGGTTCCAGGGGCCAAATGGCCCAAATGACGCAAATGACATGACCCAATGTAACTTGTTTCTTAATGTCAATGAGAATAATTAATGAGAACATGTGGGCTTTATTGGGCTTTGATCTTCTAAGTTAGGGGAATTCCGGAATTCGCAGAGACCATTGGTTCAGGCCACCACTATGGATAAATTGCTACGGATTGGGCTGTGAGTCAATGATGAGCCGCGAGATCTCACACAAATCAATTAAGTCAGTTCTTTACACAAATGATGTGTGCAATGAAATAATCAATATTGGTGCGCATCCACTAGTTCCATAGTCGGAAGCTCAAGTTCTAGGATTCCATGATGTTCTGTGTCTCGATTCTTGAGATCCAGAGATGTCCCTTGCTGTGGTCCCCGTTCTTGGATTGCCACATATTGCCAACCAGCCGAAGACTCTCATCCTGAAAGGGTGGCGGTCCAGCAGTACACGGTGACGCACTGCGTGTGCAACTGGTTTTTCCAGCCCATCAAGATGCTTCCGCAACTTGGATACGATTCATATCGATTCACGAAAAATGCACCTGCCAGTCCTAATAGCACTCCAAACGTTGAGGGCCATTTGGAAATGGTTTCGTTTCGCAAAGCGTTTCCATCGACCTGGGCCTCAGATGCGCACCGTTTAGGTCGAAGGAGAAGGAAAAGGAGAAGAACGCGCCGAAGAAACCTGACTCCCATGAGGCCTCCATCAGCTACCAGCATCCAGCTTCATCCAGCTTCATCCAGCACCAGTCTGCATTGACTTCCAGACCTGGCAGCGTCGAACAGCTCAAACTGGGGGTCCTATGTGGCCGTCCTCATGCTCTCTGGGCACCCCCACAGATCATCACAGATCCAACTATGGCAGATCCAGTTTTCTGGAAAAGAGCAGGGACACCAAACCAGTTCCTTTTTAGTGTTTCGTGATGTTTCGCAAGTCTTTCAAAGTACCGTTTCAATCCTTTTCATGCCAGAAAAGCCAACTTCAACGCCATCCTATATATGTTTTTTTTCTCTAATAAGAGAACTCTGACGAAACCCACGGCGGGGCGCCATGTCCAAAACTCAGCTGCCGAATAGCGGCACCATGGCCTGCCTTACTACGGCGCAGGCGGCGAAGTGTCGTCCATGTTGGGAAGTTCATCCATCCATGGGGAAATGTGGTGAATTACCCTCTGGTTATGACTAACCGTTTGCCATGGAAAATCACCATTTTGAATAGGTAAACCATCTATTTCTATGGGTCATTTTCCATGGCTATGTTAAATAACCAGAGGGATCCAGAGGGTATATATGATTTATATGCCTTGTGTGTATTATATATAATATAATATAATATAATTTTGATCTACCCCCCGCCCAGTAACAGCAGATAAATGATTTTCCTTTAACCTACCCTTTCAAAACGAGCACAAGGAAATTGCTCCAAAAATCTCGGCTAGGAGGTGCCCAAAAAAAAAACGTCAACCTGCCCTCCAAACCTCTGATACAGAATTCAGAATTCAAGACAGGGGCTTCACTTTCAAGATCTTTCAAGCATATCAGTTGCATTCCAACATTGAGAAAAGAAGAGCGCAGACTACAGACAATACATTCATGTGTTACCCTGAGAAGGTGCGAGCAAGGCGTCTGCATCGAAGCAAGGACTAGAACATATTGTGAAAGGATTTGGCCGCTTGATGCAACTGGCACAATGCACCGTAATGTGCTCAACCATGGAGTCAGATTGGCCATGTGGGAAAATGGAAATGTTATATACTTGGCAACCATCCTAAACTTTAAATTCTAAACCCCGAGCCCATTCGAACCCTAAATCGCAAAACTTCATTGACGCGTAAGTACCAACCGCCAAAACCAACACAAGCTAGACACAAAAAGAGCACAAAAAAACACAAAAAAAAACATTAAAAAACACAAAACAAAAGCAAACAAAAACACAAAAAAAACAAAAAAAAAACAAAAAAGCACAAAAAAAAACACAAAAAAAAGCACAAAAAAAGCACAAAAAAAGCACAAGGAGACCGCAAAAATAATTGCGAAAAAAATGAAAAAAAATGGCCCGGGCAAGGAAAGGTCCAAAGGGACGACAAAACGAGCACCAGGGGGACCACAAGAAAAGCACAATTTGAGCACCAGCCGAGCACAATTCGAGCACCAGCCGAGCACAATTCGAGCACCAGCCGAGCACAATTTGAGCACCAGCCGAGCACAATTTGAGCACCAGCCGAGCACAATTTGAGCACCAGCCGAGCACAATTTGAGCACCAGCCGAGCACAATTTGAGCACCAGCCGAGCACAATTTGAGCACCAGCCGAGCACAATTTGAGCACCAGCCGAGCACAATTCGAGCACCAGCCGAGCACAATTTGAGCACCAGCCGAGCACAATTGAGCACCAGCCGAGCACAATTGAGCACCAGCCGAGCACAATTTGAGCACCAGCCGAGCACAATTCGAGCACCAGCCGAGCACAATTTGAGCACCAGCCAAGCACAATTTGAGCACCAGCCGAGCACAATTTGAGCACCAGCGAGCACAATTTGAGCACCAGCCGAGCACAATTTGAGCACCGGCACCTGGGCAAATCAGAAATGACCAAAAATCAATGCAAAGCAGCTGAGGGACCAGAAGAAAAGCACAATTCGAGCACCAGCCGAGCACAATTTCGAGCACCAGCCGAGCACAATTTGAGCACCAGCCGAGCACAATTTGAGCACCAGCGGAGCACAATTTGAGCACCAGCCGAGCACAATTTGAGCACCAGCCGAGCACAATTCGAGCACCAGCCGAGCACAATTCGAGCACCAGCCGAGCACAATTTGAGCACCAGCCGAGCACAATTTGAGCACCAGCCGAGCACAATTTGAGCACCAGCCGAGCACAATTTGAGCACCAGCCGAGCACAATTTGAGCACCAGCCGAGCACAATTTGAGCACCAGCCGGGCACAATTTGAGCACCAGCCGAGCACAAAAAACCGAAAACAGTAAAACCAAAAAAGTCAACTGCGCCAGCCCCAGCCCCAGCCCCAGCCCCAGCGCCACGCCCAGCCCCAGCCCCAGCGCCCCCAGGCCCAACCCAACCACCCCAGCCCCCAGCCCCCCAGCCCAGCCAAGCCCAGCCCCAGGCCCAGCCCCAACCCCCCACCCTTGCGTTTGGTGGTGGTGGTTGTTGTGGTGGTGGTGGTGCTGCTGCTGCTGCCGCTGCTGGTACTGCTGGTTGTAGTGGTCGTGGTGGTGCTCTCGCTGGTGGGGGGCGGTTGTTGTTATTGTTGCTAGTTGTCACATTGCTAAGCTGTCGTAGTTACTAAGAATTGCTAAGGTTTCCAACGGAATGTTGGTGATAAGTTGGCCAGTTCCTAGCAAATCTGTAGCAGCCAGAGCCGAGAAGAGAGAAACAGACACCTGTGCAGCTTGATTCCTTCCGATTCACATGAAACATTTTTTCAACCATTTGATGATTTACATATTCATGGTGTCTACCTGATCGTTTTTTTGGTTTTGGTATAAGAATTTATCTGTATCATATCACCAGATTAGACCCTTATTTTCTGCATTTGGCTGGTGCTCATTTTGTGCCCCTGGCTTGTGCTCACTGTTACTGCCCCGGGGGTAGATCAAAAATATAATGTATATATATATTATAGAAATTGTAAGGATGACCATACCACATACACCATTTTTTGACCATGGTACTATATCATATGTGTGGGTTTGGCCAAACATGGCTGATCATGGCACTGTACCTAACAATGCGGGTTTGGGTGGGGAAAATAATCAGACACCATCGGATTTTAGGGTGCCCAATTTTTGGGGTTCCTTGTGTAAACAGATTTGGATGACGCGAAGGACTCTTCTTGTGGCTTGAGACTTAGTGTGTGGATATGGAATTGCAAATGGATGAAACAAGGTTGTCTATGTTGCAGGATCTACAGAAAATAGCCATCGAACATAAGTAAGGTATAGTAAAGTAGAATTCATCTTGCAGCTGTTGACTGCAACGCTTCTGAATTGAGCTTATCATGTCACAACGAGACAAAATGTCCATGTGACATCCGTCAGGACCTGTCGAGTATTCAAACTCCGACCTTTGAGAAATCCAGTCGAGCGGGATCCACTCAGTTGCCGAATCCCGCTGGACGAGCTGCTCAGAAAGGGTGCCTGGGCTGGAGCCAATGTTGTTCGATAAAATTCGAATCTTCAACAAGTGCAGTACAGAAATCAGAAGACCCAGTTGCCAAAATAGTGCCAACTAGACAAATAATTAAAGGGCTTACGCCCCCTGCCGCCGACCCCAGATTCGAGCTTGATGTTTTCCTCTGGCTCACTCCTCGCCCTGGTTGGGGGCCAACGGGCCAACTGCCATTTTGTCTCAATGATGCGCTTCTTTGGACGTTCGACCGGGAGCTCCCAGGACAGATGTGCTGTGAGCCTCTGTTGCATGATTATTATAGCCATCAAACTATGGGGATATAAGTTATAAGTAAGATTAAATGTAATGAATGAATGTGATTGATAAGTCATAGTTGGATGATAGTTGGGGTTACCTTATCCCCAAAAACTCGTGGATTGTCATGAATTTGATAAGTCATAGTTGGATGATAGTTGGGGTTACCTTATCCCCAAAAACTCGTGGATTGTCATGATTCATTTTCACCAACCAGAGGACTGGTCATCGACGAGGTTCGGCTCTTTCCAATCTCTAGAGATCCAGCTCTACTTTGAGAAGTGGGGCTTTGGTCCTGACATGGTGGGGTAGCCCGGAGTGGGCTGCCTCGGTAGACGATTCGGGTGTTGAACTTGATATAACTTGATAGATTTTGGCGGATTTCCTTAGGGAGTATCTCAGCCCCAAGCCCTAAGCCATCCATCTCTTTTGACATTGGCTGCAAGTCAGTTGCACTGTTCCGTTTGTGGACAATTCACAGGCTTGTGTCGGGGGGCTGATTTATGAGCAGCCATCCATCTCTTTTGACATTGGCTGCAAGTCAGTTGCACTGTTCCGTTTGTGGACAATTCACAGGCTTGTGTCGGGGGGCTGATTTATGAGCACCGTGTTGCGTTTCTTTGAGCCGTACATAGCTTAGTGGTCTGAGTTGTAAGATTGGTAGGGGTCAGTATTTCGTGTGTGCTGAGAAGCTCCAGGTTACATGTGCAGGAATGCAGCATTTTTGGGATCAAGAAGCGGTAAAGAGTTATTGCAATGAGTGCCGTGGATTTGACCCTGGACGAAGCTGACTCCAGATTGCCAGAAGCCAATGTCGCGAAGCTTTCGCCAGAGGCAGCATTAGCACATGCACAAGGTCTTTCTGGGGGTCCTGCCCAGGAGTACGGCACGCCGAAGAAGCGGCGGGTGTCTGGGGGGAACCGGACAATTCCCTCTGCAACTATGTGTGAGTGTGTGGCGGATATTCATGGAGTTCCGGAAGCCAAAGCTGCCGTGTCCTTTGAAGGCTTTGTGGTGGAGTTGGGAGAGGCGAAGCAGATTGCAGATGGGAAAGCTGGCTCACGAGGTGTGAGGAAGGTGCTGAGCTTCATGCTTGCAGACGGCGGAAGCATCATACAGGTGAACTTGTGGAATGATCTTGTTTCAAAAAAGCAGAGAACTATTGAGACAGCCTTTCAAGATTCGGAAGCATTCCCCAGGATCCGAGCAACAAACTTTGAGGTCATCGTGCTGGGGAAGTGTGGTGGCAAAAGGCTTGCAAAGGTCCAATCGATCAAGAGTTCCGACATTGAGGTTGTTGGCGAAGGATCCGTATCAATTCACCCATCCCTTTCATGGATCGTCACAGATTTCAACTGCCTTGGTGAAGCGTACGAGTGTGTAGCGGTGCAGGGAATCATCAGTCGCATCGGGGAAATGAAGCATTCCCGAGCAGGCTGTGCGATGCAATCGTGTATCTTGTTGTCGCCAGAAGGCATTGGC